GTAAAGCACGCGTGAAACATTGGAAAAGCAATGGAAAAATGGCCGTTTTGATGTGTGACCACTATGGAGTAGACGCACGGAAAGAAAACCATGGACGAAACGAGCAAAACCGTTTATGCGGTGCAACTGTAGGGATTGTGGAAGGTGCATTTGGGTGAGCGTTCGACGCACTGGGGTAACATAAGGGTATGATGGAGAAATCGAGTAACACCATGGCAAAACACTGAAAAAATTGATGAAATGGAGAAATCGAGCAACACTGTGGCAAAACACTGGAAACATCGCTGAAATGGAAGGAGAAATTGATCACGAAAGCCAGCCGCTAGGCTAGGCGAAGTTATTCTTGCGAACAAAGTGAGTTAAGGGGGTCTGGGGGCAGAGCGCCCCGAGAGGGACAAAAATGAGGAAATTAGGTGGTAAAAAAGGTGGCCACAGGTAAAGTTTTTTAGGGTTATGTACCAGGTGGCAATTGGGTGACGTTGGGGTATCGATTCCCCCCCTGGTCCGCCCTCCGAGGTGGATCTGGGCAGATTGCAATGGAGGGGAAAATGATGAGAAAAACAATAGAAAAAATGAGGGAATATGACATAAAACAATGGGAAAAAATGGGAAAGGAGGGGAAAATGATGAGAAAAACAATGGAAAAAAGGAGGGACTTTGACATAAAACAATGGAAAAAATGGGAAAGCAATGGAAAATTTGAGTAGAACGCTTGGACAATTGATTAAAACGCGAGGCGAAACGGTGGAAAGAATAGGGAGAGGGTAAAATGATGCCAAGTAAAATTGAGGCTCCGATGTGGGACCATTATCGCGTAAAGCACGCGTGAAACAATGGAAAAGCAATGGAAAAATTGCAGTTTCGATGTGTGACCACTATGGAGTAGAAGCACAGAAAAAAAACCATGGAAAAAACGAGCAAAACCGTTTATACGGTGCAACTGTAGGGATTGTGGAAGGTGCATTTGGGTAAGCGTTAGACACACTGAGATAATAGAAGGGTAATGATGGAGAAATCGAGTAACACCATGGCAAAACACTGGAAAAATTGATGAAATGGAAGGATAAATTGATAGCGTAAAATATGGGACGATTGAGTAAAACTGGAGGAAAAACTGTGAAAAAAACACTGGGGAGACTGGAATGGAGGGGAAAATGATGTCGAGTAAAACTATGGAAAAGCAATGGAAAAAAATGAAAAAAATGTGGCTTCGATGTGAGACCATTAGCGATGGAAAAGCAATGGAAAAATCGAGGGACTATGATGAAGAAGTGGAGAAAAACAATGGAAAACATATTGGAAAAATTGCGGCTCTGATGTGGGACCAAAATGATGCCAAGTAAAATAAGAGTAAAATGACGGAAATTGATGGGATGGAAACACAATGGAAAAATTGAGGCTCCGATGTGGGACCATTATATGTGCAAGAAGAGTTTCTGGGTGAAGAGTCTCTAGGTGCAAAGTATATGGGTGAAAAGCCCCAAAAATACCCAGCTCGGTCGACACAACAAAATACCCAGCTTGGAGTCTTTTTGTCGACATCCCTTGGCTTTTGGGACATAGGACAGCATGGGACCACTATAAAAGGAAAACTATCTCCATCCCACCCAAAGAAATACCCAGCTGCCCCAAAATGCCCAGCTCCGTCGATACCAGTCTTTTTGTCGACATCCCTTGGCTTTTGGGACATGGGACAGCATGGGACCAATGGAAAACTACCAGAAAATAAGTCTTGGTCTTTGTGTCAGCATCCCTTGGCTTTGGGACGTCCCGGGCTAAAGAAAAATGTGGTGTCTTTGGGGCGATGATGGTGGGAGGATGTGGGAAGGCCGCGGCACTATAAAATGGAAACCCCCAACCCCCAGAAAATCCTACCAGGAAGGGCATGTAATCTCTATAAAATCAGAGCACCCAACCCCTCAAGAAACCATTCATTTTTGGATGTTGTAAGATACAGGGGGTTGGGGGTTCCTATTCTATAGTAGAAAGTTGGCTAGTTCCTTCATTTTAAGGCTAGGCTCCAGGGTACGTTGGGGCCTCCCATTTTATAGTGATGGAGGGTTTTGCAGTAAATTTGTAGCTGTAAACATTTGCTTTTTCAAATAATTTTCTTATTTTATAGAGGTGCCCCTGTTTTGTGACCTTGGGTGTTTCCATTTTATAGAGGTCCCACTCCGGGGGGGATGGGTGCCCCCGTTTTAGTACTATAAAATGGGGGCACCCAACCCCCCCACTTAATCTAGTAGGGGATGTGAAAAGTATATGGGTGAAAAGTATGTGCAAGAAGAGTTTCTGGGTGAAAGTATATGGGTGAAAAATATGTGCAAGAAAAGTTTCTAGGTGAAGAGTCTCTGGGTGAAAAGTATATTGGTGAAAAGTATGTGCAAGAAGAGTCTCTCTGGGTGAAAAGTATATGGGTGAAAAGTATGTGCAAGAAGAGTCTCTGGGTGAAAAGTATATGGGTAAAAAGTATATGGGTGAAAAGTAAAATTGAGGCTCCGATGTGGGACCATTATATGTGCAAGAAGAGTTTCTGGGTGAAGAGTCTCTAGGTGAAAAGTATATGGGTGAAAAGTTTGAGCAAGAAGAGTTTCTGGGTGAAGAGTCTCTGGGTGAAAAGTCTGTGCAAGAAGAGTTTCTGGGTGAAGAGTCTCTGGGTGAAAAGATGTGAAAAGTATATGGGTGAAAAGTATGTGCAAGAAGAGTTTCTGGGTGAAGAGTCTCTGGGTGAAAAGTATATGGGTGAAAAGTAGGTGCAAGAAGAGTATCTGGGTGAAAGTATATGGTGAAAAATATGTGCGAGAAAAGTTTCTAGGTGAAGAGTCTCTGGGTGAAAAGTATATGGGTGAAAAGTATGTGCAAGAAGAGTTTCTGGGTGAAGAGTCTCTGGGTGAAAAGTATATGGGTGAAACGTATGTGCAAGAAGAGTCTCTGGGTGAAAAGTATATGGGTGAAAAGTATGTGCAAGAAGAGTTTCTGGGTGAAGAGTCTCTGGGTGAAAAGTATATGGGTGAAAAACATGTGCACGAAGAGTTTCTGTGTGAAGAGTCTCTGTGTGAAAAGTATATGGGTGAAAAGTATGTGCAAGAAGAGTTTCTGGGTGAAGAGTTCTGGGTAAAAAGTATATGGGCGAAAAGTATGTGCAAGAAGAGTCTCTGGGTGAAAAGTCTGTGCAAGGAGAGTTTCTGGGTGAAGAATCTCTGGGTGAAAAGTGTATGGGTGAACTGATGTGCCAGAAGAGTTTCTGGGTGAAGAGTCTCTTGGTGAAAAGTATATGGGTGAAAAGTATGTGCAAGAAGGGTTTCTGGGTGCAGAGTCTCTGGGTGAAAAGTATATGGGTGAAAGTATGTGCAAGAAGAGTTTCTAGGTGAAGAGTCTCTGGGTGAAAAGTATCTGGGTAAAAAGTATATGGGTGAAACGTATGTGCAAGAAGAGTCTCTGGGTGAAAAGTATATGGGTGAAAAGTATGTGCAAGAAGAGTTTCTGGGTGAAGAGTCTCTGGGTGAAAAGTATATGGGTGAAAAGTATGTGCAAGAAGAGTTTCCGGGTGAAGAGTCTCTGGGTGAAAAGTATATGGGTGAAAAGTATGTGCAAGAAGAGTTTCTGGGTGCAGAGTCTCTGGGTGAAAAGTATATGGGCGAAAAGTATGTGCACGAAGAGTTTCTGGGTGAAGAGTCTCTGGGTGAAAAGTCTGTGCAAGAAGAGTTTCTGGGTGAAGAATCTCTGGGTGAAAAGTATATGGGTGAAATGTATGTGCAAGAAGAGTTTCTAGGTGAAGAGTCTCTGGGTGAAAAGTATATGGGTGAAAAGTATGTGCAAGAAGAGTTTCTGGGTGAAAGTATATGGGTGAAAAGTATGTGCAAGAAAAGTTTCTAGGTGAAGAGTCTCTGGGTGAAAAGTATATGGGTGAAAAGTATGTGCAAGAAGAGTTTCTGGGTGAAGAGTCTCTGGGTGAAAAGTATATGGGTGAAAAGTATGTGCAAGAAAGTTTCTGGGTGAAGAGTCTCTGGGTGAAAAGTATATGGGTGAAAAGTATGTGCAAGAAGAGTTTCTGGGTGAAGAGTCTCTGGGTGAAAATGGGTGAAAAGTATGTGCAAGAAGAGTTTCTGGGTGAAGAATCTCTGGGTGAAAAGTATATGGGTGAAAAGTATGTGCAAGAAGAGTTTCTGGGTGAAGAGTTCTGGGTAAAAAGTATATGGGCGAAAAGTATGTGCAAGAAGAGTCTCTGGGTGAAAAGTCTGTGCAAGGAGAGTTTCTGGGTGAAAAATCTCTGGGTGAAAAGTGTATGGGTGAACTGATGTGCCAGAAGAGTTTCTGGGTGAAGAGTCTCTGGGTGAAAAGTATATGGGTGAAAAGTATGTGCAAGAAGGGTTTCTGGGTGCAGAGTCTTTGGGTGAAAAGTATATGGGTGAAAAGTATGTGCAAGAAGAGTTTCTGGGTGAAGAATCTCTGGGTGAAAAGTATATGGGTGACATGTATGTGCAAGAAGAGTTTCTGGTGAAGAGTCTCTGGGTGAAAAGTATCTGGGTGAAAAGTATGTGCAAGAAGAGTTTCTGGGTGAAGTCTCTGGGTAAAAAGTATATATGGGTGAAAAGTATGTGCAAGAAGAGTTTCTGGGTGAAGAGTCTCTGGGTGAAAAGTCTGTGCAAGAAGAGTTTCTGGGTGAAGAATCTCCGGGTGAAAAGTATATGGGCGAAAAGTATGTGCAAGAAAAAAAATTGGGTGAAGAGTCCCTTTGTGAAAAGTATATGGGTCAAAAGTCTGTGCAAGAAGAGTTTCTGGGTGAAAAATCTCTGGGTGAAAAGTATATGGGTGAAATGTATTGAAGAGTCTCTGGGTGAAAAGTATGGTGGAAAATAGGGGTAGATGGGATGCTGGCTTTCGTTCCCCCCTTCACAGGTGGTCATTTTCAATAGCTACGTTAAATTACCAGAGGGTACATCAGTCTACATCTACTTCAACAGGAGCCACTGGGCTCACGGAGTAAGCCCGTCGCTAAGGACGACTCCAATGAGCTTACCTTAGTCACAAACTGAGCCGGGGGGGTTTTGCGCAGCGCCACAGCTACATGTAGCTGGCAATCCCCAAATTTACAATCTTTGTGGTAGAAACCATCAATTTGTACGGGTGGTTTAGGACATTGCTTTACACACGTTATGCACAATGTTTTAAACCATGGATCTGATTTTCATGATTTTTCCCAGCATGTTAAATGACTGCAATTGACTGGAGGCTGCCATTCTGTCATGGAGTTTCATTGCCCAAACTTGGGGATCGGGTGGTTGGCTGCTTCAACTGATATCTATATCTATGATGTATATCCATTTAATCTCTTTGCATCTATCCAACCTAATCTTATCCGCTATTACTCCCAACAGTTCCCACTCTGGGAGTGGAGTGCTTCGTTTGTTGGCGGAGCCCCCCCAAAATGGAACTGGAACCCTGGAACCCTGAAACCTCCTGTTGGGTTGGCTGGCTGAATCCATCCATATAATTTTCATCATTCAAAATATCTGACATTATTTGACTCTTCACCAATTCTACTTAGATAATCTTAGATAGTCAGATTCTGAATCTACATCCGTCCCATTTCGATGACTTTCCCAATTTAGGTGCTCCGATTAAGCGTGCTCTGAGGACGAGGTGGACATGAAGCAGGCCACGATTTGGCGCAACTTCCGGGTCTTCGTGGCCGCCAAATTCAAAAGTGAGGAGGAACCCATGGGTTGGCTTGCCATGCAAAAGCCATGCTTGCCGATGTCAGGGTTCGCCGGTGGAGTTGCTTGTTTTTTTTTTGACCGTTCTTTCAATGGGGACTGAATGGTGGTCATTCACCAGCTAGAATGGTGGTGCAACTTTTCTTTGGGGCATGCTTCGGGGTGCAAAATATGGAAGTAAAATGTGTGTCTGAAATAATTGGGAAGGACTTTTTGGTCTTTTTCTTGGTGCTACTTTCAAGTCCAAATGACAGCCAATTAGAGAAAGTCAACACATCTTCGGATCATTATACAGTAGTCTGGGGACCCTTCTCTAGAACACTTGGCAGAAATCTTCTTAACATCAGAAAGGAAGTCCTTTTTTCATCAGAAGCTCAGCCCATGAAAGTCTCGCCGCGATAGGAACTGCTTCAGCACTTTGGCCGCAGCTGGTCGGTCAACATTTTGGTGTCTACGATTTTCGCCACGTAGAATATGCATGGATACACACACACACATAATCATTTAATCACATATGTGTATATATATATATGACACACACACACATACACACACACACACATATATTAATATACAATATCACATCCAGATTCTAGATATAAATACATGGAAAAGACCTCAAGTAGCTTGTATAGCTTGTATAGCTTGTACTTATTCGATTCTGTACTGGGCTGGAAAATCCCCGTCCCAGGCGCTGCTTCGACGCGGCGGAAGGCATCAAGCACCGGGAGATACAGGCGTCCGGTGGTTGAGATTGCTTGTTCTTGAGAAATGTGAAGAAATCCATTAAACATCAATACACCTTGTGGTTAGATGTTTTCTCTTTCAAAAAAATTGGAGATCGTCCTTTTTTTCTCTTTATCGTTCTTTTGATTGTGGAATTTGGCAGGTATCAACTGTTTTTTTTTTGCTTCAACCGCCTATAGGAGCTCTGCTCATCACCCTTTCTCCGAGCTTGTTTGACGGCTTGGAAATCACATGGAAGTGACCTGGATGACCTGACCTGGCTACAGGACCATCTTTCCAGAGAAGACTTCTGCGTGGGCATGCGGAAGTGTGGCTGGAGCTTTGGCGTGGCGGATCTGAACTGGGTCCGGAGCGGCGTGCGGAACCGCGCTGAGAGGGTTGCGGTGGTTTTTTTTTGACTTCGCGGATTGGAAAAGTGGAAAAGCTATGGAAAAGCTAGGAATATGATTTTCATGATAGCAGCTGATCATTTGATAGAAGTGAATGCGCGATCATTTGTGAATCTTGGAGGGACAAGGTCGCCATCATGGAATCATATGCCGATGTTCTTCATGCTTATAACTGGACCGCTGGTTGTACCCCTAGTTATTTAACGAACTCTACGACTAACTGCTGTAAATGAATGGGCCAACATTATCCAACATCTATGACTAGATTTGTAAAGAACTTGACTTGCATGTTCTCATGGCTCTACCGAATCAGGTAGGCTGTTTCTCGCAAAAAGTAATTGATATGTATCCAGCTGATACGTTTCCGCAACAACAACAGTTATTATTGGGTAATCATTGGCAACCCAAAACAACCCATAACAACCCATAACAGCCCATTAAAACCCATAACAACCCAGAAGAACCTATAGTTATTGCACCCCGTTTTTTTTTCTGCAACATCTCCCTTCAACCGCCAGATCTTTGATGCCCTGCAAGATCAGAGTGATAGACTGCTGAAGATCGACGCCTTACGTTCCGCGGCTGGATGGAGCTCAAAGGGAAGGGGTGGATGTCACCCAAAATATGGCTACAACCAGGGTATAACCGTATAACCATGGTATGACCAAAGGTATAACGGTATAACTAGGGTATAACCATGTAAAAGGATGGTATAACCCCCAAAAAAACAGGTCAACTCGCCAAAATGGTGGTTTGATCAAGAGAAAGTGGAGTTCATCATCAGCACAACCTGTGGTTTTTGGGGCTGAAATGGTGGTTTAACCCGCCATGAATTGTGGTGTGCCAACTGGAACGGGTATGTCAGCTAGAAAACATGGTTCCAACCATATAATCACATGTTCGCCCCGATGTGAGGACTGTGAGGATTGTTTTGGATCCATTGACTTTTGGTGCCCAACTAAAGTAAATTCAGATGATTGGGGGATGCATTGCCCTAGTAAAGGACCCTATGAGGCACTGGGATTTTATGAAATGGAAGGACCTTGGGACCTTGAATGATGTGGCCTATACCGCCCCGACCTGCACTGGTGGGGGGGGATTGCAGGGTTGTACCATTGATATAGAAATATATGAATATATATATATATATGAGTATTGTATATAGTAGTACATAGTGTAGTTGTTTTATTCTTCCATGATATTCCGATATTCCCCACAATCTCCCCCAAATCCCACACTTTAGCGACGCTCGAGGTTGGATGGGCATTGAGTTGACGCGGCGTCAGAAGAAGCAGGAAGCCAAAGTACGCTCGAGGAAATGGCAGGCCGGCGCTTCTTTTCGGTGCCGAACGTGGGGTGTGAATGGGGATATAGGAAGCTAATGATACTAACCAGCCAAAGATAGCATTTTTGCAGCTATCCAAGACTGGGCAGAAGGTTCCAAAAATCTGACCCAAAACTAGCCTAGAACTATAGAACTTTGGACATCGTCCATCTGGAGTGAAGTTCTCATATTAGTTTGTCTCCATATCCCATCCATCAAAGTCATTACAGAAGTTGTATATAGTTGTATGCTGGCCTAGGGATCTTTACACACTTTAGCTGTGAAATGGCGCAGCATGGCGATTCTCTGTTTCAGCCATGCTGACGTTTTCCATCATTCCACCAGAACCGGGAATCTATTTTTTTTCCCCTATTTTTGATGATCATGATTCATTAAAAGGATCATTCCATCATTTTTTTTTCCCCCTACTTTTCTTCATGATCCATTTACCCTCTGGTAAACTAACAGTTTGCTATTGAAAATTGCCATTTACAGTATAGTGAGGTTTCCCATTCAAAATGGTGGATCTTTCCAGTTCGTTATGTAAACGTTTACCAGGCCGGGTAATCCATGTAATGATCCCTTTAGTCCAAGATGTCCGTCCAAAGCGCCGGGAGAACTCAGGCCCTGCGAGGTCGCACAGGAGATTCGGGGGAGCGTCGTCTAGGATTCACATCCGAAGTCTAGGAGCCAAATGGACCCAAGTCATATTCTTCACATATTTCGTGTTAAAAATAGGTCCTAATTGTTTTTGGATTATTGAATTTATATTGAATTTATTGCTTACATATCAACCACTGGTTACTTTTCATAGGTCCATTTAAAGGTCGATGATTAGTGTTTCCTAGTAAAACCACTGGCTTACATATCAACCACTGGTTACTTACAATCGACCACTTAAAGCCCACCAGGAGCCTCGCCCCAGTTGAAGCATCGGCACTTTGCTAAGTTTAAGGTGCGCTGGCTGCGACTTTTTTCAGTAAAAATGAAGAATTCATCCAGAGAAAAAATCGTAAAAATGGGGTTTTGCCAGGAAAAAATGGGGATTTGACTCATACCCGGGGTGGAAAAAGCCACAGTTCATACAAATTCAACCTGTAAAAATTGGAGTTGATGAATGTTTAGATGTTTATGGTGATTTAATGGGCTTACTACTGAACATGGGGGTTAAACCAATCGTTGTATGGGGATATAGCATAGCAATCCCCAAAAAGATTCAAAAAAAAGTGTTTCCAGGAGGTTGTTGGTGATATTCAACAGATACATTTCCAGGTGTTTCACTTTTCTACGGGCTGCTAGCGGGATATATTAGCCTCTGGGTATTTGTTACATAGCTATGGAAAATGATTCAAATTTATAGATGATGTAGCTATTAAAAGTGATGATTTTAACCATGGCAAACTGTTAGTCATAACCAAAGGGTAGATGATTTTTTCCGGCACGCACAAGCACAACAAGATGATATGGGTCTCCAGCAAGCTGATACAAGGCACTGACCCAAAGCGCTGACCCAAAGGTTGGAGTTCAGTGTTTCAAACATTGGTTTAGTATTCCATGATATATGGGATGTGATCCTTCCCATTGACGAACTCCATCATTTTTCAGAGGGGCAGGTCAACCACCAACCAGATTACTAAAACTGTTACGAAGAATTCCATGCTTTTTTTTTTGGCGGTGAGGAGTCAACATCTCATACCCTCTGGTAATTTAACGTAGCTATGGAAAATCACCATTTTCAATGGGAAATTCCACTATAAATGGCCATTTTCAATAGCTATGTTAAATTACCAGAGGGTAGGAATTCTGTGGTTAACCATGGGGCCATAGACCACTGCATGGGATAATCCACGAGACGAGACCCTTAAGGCTCCCACTGGCGTGTGAAAACCACTGGATGGGGATTCCGGGGATCTCAGGCATTCCTGCAGAGGAAGTATGGAAATCTGATCCGAGCCTGGAGACAAGCTCTGTCCCAGACGGACTCCATGGCATCTTGGCTCCCAAAAAAAAGAAGGGCTCCAATATCAAATCAGGGTTTCGATTGGGCATTCAACAAGGGATACAAGGGCCTTTTTGGACTACGTATGATTACAGATTCTTTTCCAGTTTGCGGGAAATCAATCTGGATCCAAAAAACACACTCTCAACGTGACCAGAATCTGATCATCCTCCCCGTGGGCGGAAGGTTGCTGCATTTTGTGAAGAGAGTTGGGAATCCAACGTGTACCTGCGACATTTCGGCCATCTTTTGGATCATTTGGATTCGAATCCGGCCACCATTTGGGAATCCATCCAGGTTCCAGCCACTCACCATGTTGTCCATGTTGTCCCATGCGATTTTTCTCGGCCAGGCCCATCCCCAGGCGTTTCCCGCTTCCCATGGCCATGGCTCAGGTCTTATCGAAGCTGCATTTCCTGAAGGCAGCTGCACGCTTGGGCTTTGCCAAAGAGTCCAAGGAACTCTGGAAAGCGCTGGACAAGGATGACAGTGGTGCCGGGCCTGGAGGTTGATGGCTGTTGATGCTTTGCCGATTTTTCTTGTTTGGAAAAAGATGGAACTGAGATTAAAGTTGGGATAATCAGATTATAATGGGTTTATATATAGTCACTAGTCATTATAAATGGACAAACACCCATTAATATCCCATTGATCCTATGTTCAGTGTAGATCATTCTCAGGCTTTCGTGCCGGTATCAACTCCTCAATCTTGCTGGTATTTCATACCACTTACTTGCCGTCCAGCAAGTTTTCACATTAAAGATAGGAAACTCCACCATCAGCACACCATTTTTATAGATTGGGAAACCACAACGGTTTTCAACATGTGAATTTCCAAGATAAAGAATAGCTCAATATCTAGAGAGTTATATCTATTGTTTTCCACTGGGTTTGAACATTGATAGGTTAGTTGCCTCAGGAAAGAGTTGAATGACCCAGGTCAGGCCTCTATCGATGAGTTGGATCCTAAGAATGCAGAGATTTTGGCGCAGTTTAAGGCCGGCTTTGTCGGAAGTGGCCTGTGGAAGGGTTGAACCATTTAAGGGACCATGGGATTGAAAGCCAACAAAAATATGAGGTTTTGATCCATAGAAATTAGAGCTTATCTTTTGACCCACCAACAAAGTGATCATATGATAGTGATCCTCAAACATGGTAAATCAAACGCACCATAATGGTTTATCCATGTTTATCCTTGATTGGGTATTTTTTTGGGGGTTTAATCACTCTGCCGTCTTTTCTTGATGGTGGCAGTTGTTTCTTTTCTTTGTCCGTGGCGGGCCGTGACCGAACTTCTGCGGGCCGTGAACGGCTTCCACCGGCTTCCACGACGCGACGTCGAACTCACTCTGTCGGGTGCCTGTCGGGTGGGAATGGGTGTTGAAGGGCGCAATGATGTCAATGCCATAAACCATCCCATGAACCATTCGTGTCACATCCCATTTCTTGGGGGCATACCCAATTTGTCCCAATTTCATACACCTCTAATGGGGGATGGTAAATTCATTGGATCAACTCTGATTGGTGCGTATGGGCCAGCATTTTGCACGAGCCACCCCGATCCGATCAGCCTGGCCAATGGGAAACCGACTGCCCAAATTTGTCGAGGAGGAAAATGCCAAGTGGGCCTTTGATCATGAACTCCGCTTCGATGCCCGACGCCGTGCTCAGCAGCTTCCACTTCTGGAGAACTTCAAGAGAACGCTCTATCTATGCTCAGAGAGGTGTCAACTCGACGGTGCTAATGGTGGTGGTTTGAGCTTTGACCACTACTTCGTGACGGATATGACCTGGACCATTGAATTCCTGGAGCAAGGCGTTGCGGTTCACAGCACCTTGCCACTGACCTTTTCGGAGGAGTCCAGCTTTGAGCGAACGCACGCAGTGAGTGAACGGATGAGAGCAGTCTGTGGAGCCTTGAACTATTCAGTCACTTTGCGAATCTTGGATTTGCTGAAGATGTTTTTTTTCCCCACCTGCCAGGTGAGGGTTGTTAGATTTTATGTCAGTTGCCTCCTCGTCCTCCTCCTCCTCCTTCTCCTCCTCCTCCTCCTCCTCCTCCTCCTCCTCCGCCTCGTCCTGCCTCGTCCTCCTCTCCTCCTCCTCCTCGTCCTCCTCGTCGTCCTCGTCGTCCTCGTCGTCCTTGCTCAACTGCGACCCGCGATCCACAGTGTTCTCTGCCGGACCTCAACCACGACCATCCACGCCCAGTGTTCCCTGCCGGACCTCAACCACGACCATCCACGCCCAGTGTTCCCTGCCGGACCTCAACCACGACCATCCACGCCCAGTGTTCCCTGCCGGACCTCAACCACGACCATCCACGCCCAGTGTTCCCTGCCGGACCTCAACCACGACCATCCACGCCCAGTGTTCCCTGCCGGACCTCAACCGCGAGTATCCACGCCAAGTGTTCCCTGCCGGACCTCATGTAGGAAGATATGGGACAAAGAATGTGCAGAAGAAAGTTAGAAAGAATGTCAGAAAGAATGTGATATGCCAGAAGATATGCCAGAAGATATGCCAGATAGAATGCCAAATAGAATGCCAGATAGAATGCCAGAAGATATGTCAGAATATATGCCAGAAGATATGCCAGATAGAATGCCAGATAATATACCAGAAGATATGCCAGATACAATGCCAGATAGAATGCCAGAAGATTTGCCGGATAGAATGCCAGAAAATATGCCAGAAGATATGCCAGATAGATATGCCAGAAGATATTCCAGAAGATATGCCAGATAGAATGCCAGATAGAATGCCAGAAGATATGTCCGAATATATGCAGATAGAATGCCATAAGATATGTCAGATAGAATGCCAGAAGATATGCCAGATAGAAGGCCAGAAGATTTGCCAGATAGAATGCCAGAAGATATGCCAGAAGATATGCCAGATCATATGCCAGAAGATATGCCAGATAGAATGCCAAATAGAATGTCAGAAGATATGTCAGATAGAATGCCAGAAGATTTGCCAGTAAGAACATATATAAATGTCATGGTGGGGATCACACGAAGTAAAGTAATTTTTTTTTTAATTACTATATTCCCAGTGGGACATCCACTAGTTGGGGAAGCCATAGGAAAGATATTTTTCCCCACCTGCCAGGTGAGGGTTGTTAGATTTTATGTCAGTTGCCTCCTCGTCCTCCTCCTCCTCCTTCTCCTCCTCCTTCTCCTCCTCCTTCTCCTCCTCCTCCGCCTCGTCCTGCCTCGTCCTCCTCTCCTCCTCCTCCTCGTCCTCGTCCTCCTCGTCGTCCTCGTCGTCCTTGCTCAACTGCGACCCGCGATCCACAGTGTTCTCTGCCGGACCTCAACCACGACCCCCACGCCCAGTGTTCCCTGCCGGACCTCAACCACGACCATCCACGCCCAGTGTTCCCTGCCGGACCTCAACCACGACCATCCACGCCCAGTGTTCCCTGCCGGACCTCAACCACGACCATCCACGCCCAGTGTTCCCTGCCGGACCTCAACCACGACCATCCACGCCCAGTGTTCCCTGCCGGACCTCAACCACGACCATCCACGCCCAGTGTTCCCTGCCGGACCTCAACCGCGAGTATCCACGCCAAGTGTTCCCTGCCGGACCTCATGTAGGAAGATATGGGACAAAGAATGTGCAGAAGAAAGTTAGAAAGAATGTCAGAAAGAATGTCAGAAGATATGCCAGAAGAATATGCCAATAGAAGCCAGAATTAGATAATGTCCAGATAGAATGCCAGACCAGGAAGATCAGATAGAAGATTGCCAGATAGAATGCCATAAATATGCCAGAAGATATGCCAGATAGAATGCCAGAAGATATGCCAGATAGAATGCCAGATAGAATGCCAGAAGAATGCCAGATAGAATGCCAGAAGATATGTCAGATAGAATGCCAGAAGATATGCCAGAAGATATGCCAGATAGAATGCCAGATAGAATGCCAGAAGATATGTCAGAATATATGCCAGAAGATATGCCAGATAGAATGCCAGATAGAATGCCAGATAGAATGCCAGAAGATATGTCAGATAGAATGCCAGAAGATATGCCAGATAGAATGCCAGAAGATATGCCAGATAGAATGCCAAATAGAATGTCAGAAGATATGTCAGATAGAATGCCAGAAGATTTGCCAGTAAGAACATATATACATGTCATGGTGGGGATCACACGAAGTAAAGTAATTTTTTGGGTTCCTTCAGCTCCAAGGAAACTGTGAGCATTTGTCCCGCTTCATTGAGAATGGATCATGGGTAAGCCACCAGATGGCTGAAGGTGCTGACTTCGGATCAAACTTCGCCAACCACATGATGCTTCACAAGAAGAAGATGAATACCCTCCCAAAGGAGCTTGCTGAGCTTGCCCATCTTGAGGTTTCCAACCAAGACGACAGTGACTGCAGGCCGCTGGTGAAGAATCACCCTGGCTTCTCATTTATAAGAAACCTGAAGGCCTTCCATATGCTTTATGTGAGGAAAATGTTTCTCGCATATGTCAGACGCTGGGGGTAGAGAGATTCTTGACGTCGACCTTTGCGGCAACCTCCAGAGGGGACCAATTCAGCACGCAACTTCGAAGAAGTGAGAGTGGACTTTGTCAAAGTAGTGGGTAGCGGATAATTGGCGCTTTTCAGCCTTGTTGTCTAACTTTGCACGTTTGCCAGCTCAAGAGTCATGGTGCCCGATCCTCGACTTGCATCTCATTCTAAGCTTTGGGTGGACCCAAAAAAGGGTTAGCGTAGCTCATCGTAGCTGGGCGCATGACCATCCAGTTCAGTGGGGGAAAGCATTCCGCACCTCGACTCGGCTGGTCGTCTACAGATCTCAGAGCATCCGCAGCCGGCGCTTTTTGGGAGATGTCGGGACTTTGGTTCTGCCGTTGTCAGACACCCTCCATAGACCATGGTGAAATGTGGGGATGAAACCACATATTAATGGGACCATTTAGCATTTGGGTGTTTAATATGAACGGGGGATCATGCAGATAATCCGTATAGCATCCTGAAACCGCCCCGTACAGCTCGCGTCTCGAGAAGCGCCGGATCTGCCGAACAATTCGACGAATTATGCAGGACCGCAGGAACGGACGAAAAACTCACGTCAAAGACGTCGAGATGTTGTGAGAGTTTTCTAGAAAGATAAGCGCACGTCAGGAATTTGTCCCTTCCCAATTTCCGAAAAACCACGAACCCCCTTTGTTCCATTAGTAACTTCGCAGACACCATGTCCAGAGGTTTGGAAGTCCTCACAACCCCCGCGTAGCCTGGTATGTTGTCCTCCTTGTCGCTGCATGCGCAGTGCGGGAGTCCGACTTTAACCAAAACAGGCGAAAACGTGCCATTTGTGATTGAAAACGAGGTATACCTTCAAATGGCCATTTGATTCGGGGAAATGATATGAAATTATATGGTAAACCTTTAAGAATTTTGGGGTGATTTTCAGAGCCACTTGTGTCCGTCGGAGCCATGACAGCACTCCCAGGTTGTGAAGTCATCGACGCGGCGGTTTTTTTCGAAGGGTCGTGGGAAACATCGCAAAGAAGTCCTGACCTCCGGTGTCATGAAACATGGCTTGCTGGAAAATCCACCATTTATATAATCTATTTAATTTTCCAGCAAGCCATGTTTCCAGCGATTTAATTCAATGTTTCCATCTATATAATTCCATTTATAAATCTATATAATGTTTCCATCTATAATTTAATTCCATGGTTTTCCCAGCGATCAACCTCCATTGAATTCGTCACGTTCGTTACCGAAGAGAAAGGCTCAGAGCTGGCCGCAAAATTTGATTCGGATGCATGGACGTGAGAGAGCGAACCGCGCACAGTGCGATGTGATAAGAATAAATAAGAATACCCACAGCCGTGGTGGATTTTCACAGTTTTATACTGTTTTATCATGTTTTATCTGTGTAGTTTACCTCTTTTTTATAGGACGGCGCGCCGTCACAGCAAAAAAACAAGGACTAAGAATATTTTTCGACGACCTAGAAGGACGACTCAATAGTGACCCTTTCGTTGCGTCCTGTCATTTCAAAAACAGAAAATCAATCACTGTTTGGTGGTTTGGAACATGAATTTTTATTTTCCATATAATTATTGGGAAGAATCATCCCAAGTGACTTTCATATTTTTCAGAGGGGTTGAAACCACCAACCAGAAAATGACACGTTTTTGAACAGAAGACCAACAAAATCAACAAACTGGTGAAGAAATGATGTAACCTTGCTATTGTTTTTGATAGAAAAGATGAGGACATTGTTGTTTACTGTGAAAAAGTTACGTCGTGTAGAAATGAATTACGATGTGATGCCCTTCTGGGATGGATGACAACCAGTGACTAAGTGGTTGACACCCAATTTTAAATACCCTCTGGTTATTTAAATGGTATAGATGGCCCATTTATAGATGGTTTACCGAACTTAATAGCATGGTGGATCTTTCCATGGCAAACTGTGAATGTCATAACCAGATGGTATTGCCTGTTGGTGCCCAAAAAATCCACACCCCTCTTGGTTGGGTCCCCATGTATGATCTGTGCTGGAAGAGAGCGGCAGGTCTGGGTCACACAGAAGTTTGGCAGCGTGCGTGCAGCTTTTGAGGCTTTGGGATACCAAATCAGCTCTTTTTGGTGCAGCAGCATCGCTGCAACGACAGAATTCCCCAAGAATCGTTGTGATATTGGAGGATTACTTGCGATATACCCTCTGGTAAACTAGCATAGCTATGGAAAATCACCATTTTTAATTGGTAAATCCACTCAAATAGCTACTTTGAGATAACCAGAGGGTATCAAGTGCAGATTCCAACATCAAACCTCATGATGTGCTCACGATGTCCTCCAGGCCATGGATTCAGACTCCACTCGTTTCATCAATGCCGTGAAGTTTGCCAATGCCTTGAAGAAGTTCGACTTCAGCCGGCCCAGCAAGCAGCCACTCGGAGCTAGCGGCTGGAGCCAGGATGAAGTTTTGGTGATGGAGGATTTTCATGGGATTTCATGGAATTTAATGGGACACACACACATACCCTCTGGTTATATATGTCAACAGTTTGCTATTGAACATGGCCATTGAAATAGTGGATTTACCCATGAAAAATGGTGATTTTCGCTATGTAAACGTCTACCAGAGGGTAAGCAACTGAAATAGGACCAGAAACCATGCGGCAAGCTGTGGAGAAAGCGAATTGTACCACCATCCAAAAATAACCATCCAAAAATGGAACCATTGTGGATGGTTACCACAAAATAGTGGATTTACCATGATTTACCATTATGGATGGTTACCAAAAATGGAACCATTATCATGAAAATAGATGGTTAGCAAAATTTTTTGTGCCATGGTAACTGCCATGGTAACCACCAAGAACCACCAAGAGATCAGCATCCCGGCGACCTCCATTTAGGCTGGGGGTTTCCCAGCCATGTTTGATGACCGATAAATCGGTTAGCTGCGAAAGCTATGGACAATCACCATTTTTAATAGGTAAATCACGGTAAATCATTATAAAACATCTGTAGGCGGGCCATTTTTCACAGTTAGAAAATCTGTTGAAATTGCAATCCCCATTTGAAGACAAACCCTCAAATATTTCCAGGGTGTATCTGGATTTGGGGAGCCAAAATCCCACCAGAAATGTGTAGATGTGAGGAAATTCCAATGGTTTTAGGTTTCGGTTTTCCCCCATGTTTGGACACACCCAAGATAACCTAAATAAGTAGGTTTCCTATGGTTTCCCTTTATAAACCACGATGGAATCCGCCACTGGTTGAGTTTTCCATCACCAAACCCCCACGGACCCCCCGGGGATGGGAAACGGCTCGCCGAGGCTTTTTGGGCACTTTGACAAAGACGGAGATGGGAAGATCGTCACCCGGCGAAACTGCGACACTTTTTTGACACGACTGAGAAATGCTGATGGTTTTCCATGGTAAAATCCAGTAAACCAAGTTAAATAACTATGGAACATGATTGATCAATGATTTAAATGACCTATTGATGCCGATGTTTTGCCTATTAAAAACATGGTGATTGCCAGAACCATATTACTTTACCGCTAGACAACCGAAGAGCTCAACCCAGGTCATTGAGGACGTGCTGTTCCTGGAGAATTGGAATCCGCTACCCTTCCTGGTGGTCCCACCCAACTACAAGGCCCCGCTCTGACCTGGGATCATGGAGACAAATAGCTGTTACAGACAGGACACCTGTTTCACAAAGGGGGTTGAAAGCCACGGGGGTTTCCTGCCAGATTTCCCGCACTTCTTCCAGGAATATGCACACAAATGGAAAGGCCATCCCTAAAACGATGAATTATTGCATATGTCACTCAGATTTTTGGCATCATTTGATATCAAACAAATTTGTATCAATCCATCTATGGTTGAGTCAATTTCTCATGTGATGCACCTTTTTATTTTTTTGATTTGCCAATTATATCCAATTATCAAACGATTCAGTGAAATTCAACGCGATACAAACGGATTTTTGTTGAGCAAATGATGATTTGGGGATTTCCCTGCTATGTTTTCCAGGCGAGGAATGAGATCCGACGACTGATCTTGGTGAGGACGGGGCAGTACATGAAAGCCTGGCTTGGTGCCTCAAAGGGGTTCTTTCTTTTTGTGCTTTTCATTGGATTGGTTTATTTGGTTTAAGGGAAAATCTCAAGCGGAAACCCATGGGTTTTTACCATGAAATATGAGGGTTTCCAGTTAAAATTTTCCCGTAAACCAATCCAATGAGCTTTGGGGTGAAAAATGAGAGATTTACCAGAAAATTCAACGTGGCGAACTGGACAATCACGAGTTTCCATGGAAACAACTCATTATGAATCGGCTATAAATGCGGCATGTTCCATAGCTACGTCAAATAACCAGAGGGCCGAGGCCTAAGGAAGTTGGCTACGGGAATGATTCTTCTGGAGTTGTGGCCAACATGATTTTGGAAGGTGGATTTAGCTCATTTCATGGCAAAATCAGGAAACAATCGGTTTTAAACCATTGGATTTTGGGGATGTCGATGGTTTTCTCCCTTTTTGCGGGTTGCATTCTCAGAAGGTTTTGATGCTCACAGCAGATTCAAAATCTTAGAGCTGCAATGGATGAGATATGATGAGATGGATGTTTCATTCTAGTCCTGTTCTGAAAGTTGTACACGTTGTTGGGAAATACGAATCATCCAATCCCTTGCGTAATTTTTACAAAACTGCCACTGTGTGGTCCAAATGTGTGGTTTCATCCCCTACATTCCACCACGGTTTCAGGGGTACCAATCAATTCAATTTTAAGTTGGTAAATCCCATGAAATCTCCATGAATATCCCATGAATATCCTCATTTTTCATAGTTATTTCTCATTCAATCACCATGAATATCCTCTGGTGAACTAACATAGCAATGGAAAATCCCCATTTTTAATGGGAAAATCCACTATAAATAGCCATTTTCCATTGCTATGTTAGTTCACCAGACGGTATCCCATGAATATCCCATGAACGGCGGAGATCGGGATTCCCTGAGAGTCCTGGCGGCGCCTTCGGCTTCCAAGGCGCCGTTTGCTGGACAAAGATGCCACGAACCGCTCTTTGGCTCCATCGTTTGGGATTGAGGTGTGGTGTGGCTGCTATGAACATTGGCATTTTCTTGAACTGGCTTCTAAACCATGGTTAAGCCACTTATATCTACTATATAAGATATATATATATATGGTTTTGAAGCTATGAACATGGGAGGTTCGAAACATTTGAAACTTTGAATCGTTTTTTTTTTAACTTGAGAATCTGCAAACCATGTGTCAGAATGATTTTGATCCTGGCAAGACATTTCTAGCTTCAGGTTCCCCGTACCATGCACCAAGGATGCAATTGGTACGAGTTCAAGGACTGCTGTCAGGTGCTTGGCTACCAAGGCCCGCCCAAATCCACCCATTGTGGGAATCACTCTGGGACCTTGGTCCCAAAATCATCAGTCGAATCGTCTTCTTGGTATATTAAAAACACATTTAAAAACACATGAAAGACTTATAACATATAAGATATATAAGATATCACCGGTTCCATGCTTGGTTTACATCACTTACCCTCGAGTCAATTCGGAAACTGCGCAGCATGGAAAGGCGATGTCCCAGGGGCCTGGCGGGCCTTTGATGATGATTTGCCGGGCAAACCCAGAGCCCAGAGCCGGTGTTGCCAGAGATTTTGGGCGCCAGAGAATGGCTGAAATAGATGATTAAACATGATCATTTATGATGATAAACATGGTAACCATTATATATAACTATAACTAATATATCTATTCATTTTCACATGGTGATTTTCGGGAGAACTCGACAAATATTAGGGACTGAAGCAGCCGTTTTTATGGGGATGGAAGATGATGGAGAATATGTCACTAACAGGATGATATTTGGTTGTGTCTGAAAATGAGGCATTTACCACATAAGATGGCAATTTAATAGGGACAATCAACCACATGATAGATTGGGGAATGATGAGCAAACGAAGAAGGAATCATAACTTTGATTTGGACATATTTGAGTAAGAAAGGCTTGATGTTATCTAGCATTGGGCGGGACTTTCAAGAATTCAAGCATCTGCAACATTTTCACATGAAGAGCGAACGGTTGGGGGGCGCGGATGATTCAACAATTCTGAGGTAGCGGGTCTGGGCTCAACATGTTCTCAAGGCATTTGTTCTTGTCGCTGGTGAGTTTCCCCATGTGTATCCATGCAGTTGGCAGTTGGCTCGGTATTTTCCTGCTAGAAACGATCCAGTTTGCCAATGCAGCTGGCAGGTCCGGCTTTATCTCCTTAAAGGACGGCAATCATTTTTCCCAGATTTCCTGGGCAGACAATCATCAGGGATGCAGCCGCACACGTGGGTCATCGTGGGTCCAAGTGTACTTAAAACATCTCTGAAATGGGCTTTGGGCTTCAGCAGTTCAGCTTTTCAGTGAAATTTGCATGTTCTCAAAAATGTTATGAACATTTCTGACTCTTCTTGTCCGTTCATATTCCCATCTTTTGCTGGTTAGACCCATGATCTTGATGGGTGATTTTTTTTTGTGGGGGGGCGATTTTATATGCACATATGTTTCAACTCTGAACATCTGTTGGTCAAATCTATGTTTTGGCTACGCAATCACCTTTTTGTGCTCCTAAATCCGATTTTTTTTCCCATTCTGGGTGGTTTAATTTTTGCAGAGCGCAGCCCAAACGCAAATGATGGTACAATTGGTAGAACAACCATGGCCCCCCAAAGGTTGAATCCAGATTTTTCTCTGACAATGTCTTGCCTAAATTCGTGATTTTAACGGTAAACCGATGCTTTCTCTGTGAAATGTCCATTTCTGTTGGTTCATTGGTTCATGAGCATTTTTGTTTTGCGACCCATTTTATGCCACAGTGTTCTTTAGCAAAAATGTATCAAAACATTAGCAAAAACCATTTTCATGATCATATTTTTTTTCACATCATTTTCTAAACATTCGCCCATTTTTATCAGGATTTTCCCTTCCCCCCGGAAGGGATTTCCATGGGGATTTCCATAGGATTCAGCCGCGGTCAATTTTTCACCAGGAGATCGATGAGGCCTCCGCCTTGATCCTGTCGAACTTCAGGCGCCGAAGAATGTTGGATTCTGCTGGCAGGTTATGATATTTTCATGATACGTGATATGGTTTGATGTGAATGAATATCTGATATGATATGGTTTGATATGACATGATATGATGATCACCCAACTTTGGATATTTGATATGTTATTTGGCATTTGATTTTTGATGTTCGTTTCTTTTTGGTGTATGCACAGGTATCCTGAATCCTGCAACACAATGGGACACAACTTCCCCATGGTTTCAAGGTCTCGATGGCGCATCCCGAACGTGTTGGGAGTTCTTGGAAGAGCTTCGTAGCGAACCTCCGTGTTGGAAAAAAAACGCGTTGCAATTGGGAAGTTATTTGAGGACATGTAACGTAAGAACGTTGTAAGACGTTGGACAACTGAGTAGCATCGTTGGAACCTTGGAGGTCGTTGGAACGTTTGATCGAAACACTTAGCGGCTAAGGATCAAACACATGTAAGAAGTTATGTGAAAAACTTGGTAGGGTAGCATCAAGAACGTGCTGGTAGTTGCTTGAACAAGTTTGTAGCGCTGCATCAAGAAAGTGTTGGAAGTGCTTGAGCAAGTTAATGACGTAACATCCGGAGAGTGTAATATTGCAAATGAACGTGAGTAGCCCGCCCACCCGACCAACCGCCACCCCAAGCCCGCCTCACCCCCACTCCATGGTGGTACCGTATAGCATCGAGAACGTCTTGAAGTTATTTCGCAACGTTTACAGGGTAGTATCACAATCAGGAACATTGATAGCCCACAGCTGCCCCACCCCCACCCCAAAGACGTTGATTTTACGAGCACGGCTTTCGGTCCGCAGGCAGAAACATGTACTGGCAAGATGTGGATGCAAATTGATCAAACCTGGGATGCATGGATGTGGCTTCTCCAATGTGGCTTCCCCATGGTGTCGCAGGGAACCCGAAAAAGTAGATCGAATTTTTTGTTTCACTATGCAGCTGAACATCTGCCATTCTGGATATCCGGCACATCCAGCAAAGGTGTCAGAAAGCACAGCACAGCACTTCCGCACCGCAGGAAGTGGGCTCTGATGGAATTTGGTTCCATCCGATTCTTGGCTGGAGATTTTTGTCGGAATGAACCCGTTGAAAAAAACGACGGACACCATGCAATCAACACATAAGGGCAAAGAGTGCCTCGAGGACGACCTTGCAATTGCACACGCCAAAAATCACAGCACTAAATTTAAGATGGAGTACAAACATGAACATATCATGCCGTATACGCCGTATCCCAAAAGGAACAACCTTCCAGAGCCCATTATTTTTTTAGGTTCCCGTCTGAGATTTAGGTGTAATTTGTTGGTCCAATTTCACCATCAAGAGGGATAAATAGGTGGCATAATGTGCTATCATCCATTCCCAAATGGGTGGTTTATGGCATTGTTTGACCCCAAAATTGTGACTTTCATGACAATTACTTAATCACTATTAGTCACTATTAACCACTATTAAAGCCCATTAGTCATTAGTCACTATAAATCACCATTAGTCATAAACCACTATTAGTCACTAGTGAATCACGCTTTAATTTTGGGACTCTTAACCATTGACTACTATTAACCACTAGTGAACCACTATTAACCACTATTAACCACTAGTGAATCACCATTTAATGACCATCATTTCTTGCGAAGAGTCCAGGATCCCTCTTCGCAGTCTTTGACGACGACTGCTCCGGAAGCCTCTCCTGGCAGGACACAGCTGACTGGGCCCAGCTGGGCTGCACCCGGTCTCCAACATGTTTGTTAAATTGGATGTTCGATTTCTTACAACTCACTTCTTTCTATGCTTTTATATACTTTTATATCTGTTATAGTAATGAAACTTCAAATGTTCCAAGATTTTTTTTTGTTCTTGGGGTGGCGAACTAGCATAGGGGCCAAATCGTGACCTCATCAATAGCCATCTTCCAATATTACCATAAATGGTGGGTCGTTTTACCATCCCCAAATTCAAAGTAGCAATGCTGACCGCGAAAATTTCATGATCCCGATATGAAAAAAGTGGTTTCTCATCAGCCGAGATCCTCTAGCTTTAAATCATCTTAAAATCAATGGGAGATCTTCAGGATCCTCATTTTTGGAGGTACGTTAGTACCATATAAGGCCATATTTTCTGGGGATATTCCCTTACATAGGCCTTATATAGGCCTTATAAATGGCATTTTTACCATATTACAGACCTTTTTTTTGCTTCCTGACATGGCCATTGGCCATTGATCAAATCCCGATTTTTCTGGGTGACCACATTTTTCGGACCCATTTTTCGCTCGCAGGAATTCCGCTACGCCTGCAATGTCTACGGCTACGATGGCTCCATCCGGTCCCCTTGATGCGGTGAGTGTCAAGCAGGGCGCAAGAACTAACGCATGTATAGCATTTAAGTATCTAGGACTGTATCTATATAGGCTTCCCCCAAATATCATTATAAATTATAAGTGTGTCAAGTGTGGTTTTATCATATGGTATGCAACGGTCTAAGACAGCTTAGGGCTTGATTGATTGGACATGATCCCCCGTCCCGGCCCTGCCTTGAACGTAGAATGATATTCACCATTCACCATATTCACCGCACTGGTAAGGCAGCTGTCTGAAATATCCCGCTACAGTTGATACTAGTTGAGACTAGTTGACTATCAACCGAACATTGATCCATGGCTCCCGTTGGGTCTTTTTTGGGTGACCCGGGACCCGCCATAACTTAGGTCTCTCTTCAACGCGTTGGATGTGGATCAAACGGGCAGTTTGACCTTGAGTCTGGGCTGAAAAAAGTCAGGCTGCAATGAGATGAAGCTGAAGATAATTTTCCAGCCGTGTTGATGAGGCACCCCTGGTTGCTGGGTGGGATATTTCTGGTGATTTTCGTGGGATAAGTAGGGTTAATCCGTGTTAATCCACTTATACCCTCCGGTAAACTAACATAGCTATGGAAAATCACAATTTTTTTATGGGAAAATCAACTATTTCAATGGCCATTTTCAATAGCAAACTGTTGACATAACCAGAGGGTAACTACGGTATTTCAGCCACATACAGCCAGCGGGATGAGCCACCAGCCATTCTCGATCTCACCGGCCTTTCGATACCCAGGAAGGAGGTGGTCTTCTTGGAAGACTGGGACGACGACCATGAGGCGCCGTTCTCAACATCTTCAAAGTTATATCTATATATATTATATATATATATTTATACTAGGCGCAGCTTTTTCCAGAATTTATGCTAGGCCGCAGCTCACGCTTCTCTGAGCCTTGAGGAAAAAATTATATACTGGGTCATCAATTTGCCAATGGATAGATGTTCACGTTCTGGATTCTGGATTCTGGATTCGGGTGATCATTCATCAGCGATGCGTTCGGGTTTTTCAACAGCGCAGGAAGCCACAGCTACGGTGCATGAAGGTGGACCGACCTTGGGGCGTTTTTTGGAGCAATCCACAAGGCCATGTTGACACCCGTTTTTCATCACCATAAATATATAATGTCAACCCCGGATTTTGCTAAACCATGGTTTATTAATTAGGGGGGTACTCCTCCAATAGTCATAATCTAATACTTAAATGGTACCCTCCCAATTAAACAGCCCAGGGGTTTATTAATCCAGGGTTGACATTAAATGGGATGAACCAACCATTCCCAAGTAGTTATAGGGGTTATAGTTAATGTATGGTTATAGTGGTTATAGTTAGTCCATGTTAATGTCAACCCGGGATTAATAAAAACCCCAAACGATTGTTTCATTGGGAGGGTACCATAAAAAAGTATCATATGAAATGACTATTGGAGGGGTACCCCCCTAATTCATAAACCATGGTTTAGCAAAATCCGGGGTTGACATTAGGTGGGATGAACCAACCATTCCCAAGTTTGGGTAGTTTATGGCATTGTTTTAACCGCAACATGGGATTTATTGATGACTATGTTGGCATTAACATATGGTAATATGGTATGAATTATGGGTATATGACAGACATTTATGGCATAAACGTGGTGTAGACATTTGGTAGAACTATGGTATATAGCAATCTATCTCAATTTAACGGGCTTAAACTGGTATATTGATGGCTATAAATGGCTATGAACATGGCTGTTATGTATACACATAAACGCATCAATTTGGACGGTTTTTCTTTGAGCCATGGGAAGGGAGCTACGCGTTTTTATTTTCCCACCACATTGTGAAACCATTGATATACTGACCGTCATATAGTTGATAGATAATATTGATGATCATTGATGAGAATATCACTGGGTACTCTCTGGTAAACCAACATAGCTACGGAAAATGGCCCATTTATAGATGGTTTACCTATTAAAAATTGTGATTTTCTATAGCCATGTTAGTTTATCAGAGGGTAATTGACATGTTTTTGGTTATTTTCGCAGCTCCAATTTAACTATATACAGAGTGGTTAACCCATCCCCCACTCGGAGCCCTGTGATTTCTTAAGATTTCACCTAAAGCATTTAAGGGTTGATGCTTTCCGAGAGCCTCTGGCAAGCAAACAGTTCAACATACGTCGGAAAATCGGACAATCAGAAGTTTTAAGTTTCATAGATCACCCATAAACCACTATAAATAGACGATAAATAGATGACAAAAACCTACCATTTTGAATAACGTTCTTAGGTATGGAGGATAACTTGGCTCACTTGGATCCCCAAGTTGTTGGCGGTTGACGGACAGGAGCCAGCGCGACTGGGGAACGACAGGCAATTCTATGGCTGGTTGGTGGTGACTGGAACCATGGATTTTTGACTGACTTTCCAGAAACAGTTGGGAATGTCAGAATCCCAATAATCCCAATTGACGAAGTCCATGATTTTTCAGAGGGGTTGGCAGGTATACCACCAACCAGATGGTAATTATTGAATCATTTTGGATGATTTTTGGGGTAGTTACTCCAACAAAATATGATCTTGACTAGCTTGATGAGGATTATAGGTGCACTTGGTTGGACAAAAACATCTCCAAATTGTGTACGGTATCATTTTGGTGGATTTTTTTGGGGTACCCTCTGGTAAACATACAAAAAGCTATTGAAAATGACAATTTATAGTGGATTTTCCCATTGAAAATTGTGATTTTCTCTAGTTATGTTAGTTTACCAGGGGGTAATTACCTCAATGACTTTGGACCACCATCCACCCCCCATTTGTTTGGAATTGGAATGGTGAATTGTTAGGCTGAGCAGACGACCCCCAGTGCCACATGGCAAGTGACTGATCGACCTGTTTCTTGGTGGCGCTTGAGTCCCATGGGGACACCATGGGACCGATGGGACTGCGGGAAAGCACGTGATGAAGTGGATTTTTTCTGGGAATTAAGGCCATACCCTCTGGTTATGTCACAATAGCTATTGAAAATGACCATTTATAGTGGATTTTCCCATTCAACATGGTGGATCTTTCCATAGTTATGTAAACGTTTACCAGAGGGTACTATTCTTAAATGAATTTGATTCTGATGGAACTATATAATGGTAGTTCTTTTTCCTTAAACCAGTCCGTTCTTTGGCACAGGATAAAACACATATAATCATATAATTATTTAACCATCAAGATTGGCGTTTTAACCATCAACCATGGGAGATTTAAAAGGATCGACTTCAGGGATAGCATCAGCAGGAGCTCTACGAACTAATTATGCATGTACATTTTGCAAATCTCATCAGATATGTATACCAAAAACAAGATGCATAACCATATAAACCGCTAACCATTCATGTAATCATCAACCAGGTTCTCTTCAAGGTGAAACCAGGATCCGATTTTAAGATCTGTGGCATTCACTATTTGTGCCTCCCAGGCACGGCGTTTTGAAGTTGTGAGGCAGGGATGGGTGATGAATGGTGATGAGGTCGAGAGGTTGACCTGAAATTGCCAGTGGCTAAGATGGCTAAGTGGGTACTACTGTGGATGGTTGCGAAATCCTGCACCAGTTGATAGATGGTTTATCCAAGTATTTATAGGGTTTCAACCATCCAAGGTGGTGCAGGATTTCGCAACCATCCACAGTAGTAATTGTCATATTCTGAATCGAGGTATAGTGACGTATGGACGAAGTATGTTTTTTTTCTCCTACCCCAGTTGTAAATGGCTTAAGAACCACTCACCAGCCTTAAACAAATGCCCTTTAAGTATCGACATTTCAACGGCACGGCTGGAGGCGGAAGCGTGCGGCAGCCAAGTGATCCATGGATAGATGGGATTTATCTAGTGAATTCCCCGGCCTGGTTTCTACGTTAACAAAAAACTATGGAAAGATCCACCATTTTCAATGGGTAAATCAACAATTTCTATGGCCATGGCTTCAATAGCTTTTTGTATGTTTACCAGAGGGTACTGGTTGATAAGCAACCTCAGAAAAAGATGGATTATATAGTGAACTATTTCCCAGCAATAGTGGTAAATAGATGTAAACTTTGCGTCTTTTTTTCGGGATTGCCTATCGGCAAAACCGGCAAAACGGGCCTTGTGTATAGTTAATTAGTTTGTTTCCAGCCCTTTCCTTATCAACTTCGTTAAACCGTTAGAGGCATAATGAAAGTTGACCTTGATAATATAGTCATCATGGAAGTTTCATGTAAACTTCATCAATTTACCTGAAAAAAAATCAGACTTGAATGACTTTGACCTCATGATATCCTCCAACTTGTCCACCTTCCGAATGTGGGGTTGCCAAGCCTGACAGATGTTGTTCGGACCTTTTGATGCGATGAACATCTGAAATGGTGGTTCGTGTGAGCCCAATTTCGCCAAATCGATGGCTTCGCCTTTGTTTCTGGCGAACCATTGAACTCGCGAAGCAACATCCATGATGGGATACTTACTTTTCTAGTCCCATGATTCATGGGATACCCTCCGGTAAACTAACATAGCTATTGAAAATGACAATTTATAGTGGATTTTCCCATTAAAAATGGTGATTTTCCATAGCTATGTTAGTTTACCAGAGGGTACTCTAGCTAACCTAGCTATGGTTAAAAATCATCAACATTTTGACAGCGAAAATGAGCATTTCGCTCGCATCGTTTCCACCGTGATGCAGCCACGAGTTTTTACCATTTCAGTATGGAAACAGATTGAAACCTGACATAGCCATGGTTAAACTCATCATATTTTTAGACCATTTCAGTATTTTTTTAACCTTTTGGTAAGCTAACATAGCTATGGAAAATCACAGTCTTTAATAGGTAAATCAACTATAAATGGTCCATTTTTAATAGCAAACTGTTAGTTTATCTCATTCAATCTCCATTTTATCCCATTCATATCCCATTAAATCCCGTTAAATCCTATATGAATCACTATGTTAGATTACCAGAGGGTTAGTAACCCATTTTTTTTTTGGGCTACCCCCCCATTTTAGGAACCTCCAAGGCCGCCGCGGTTCCCGAGGCGACTTGGAGCTGCGCGCTGCACCGCAGATTCCACGGCTGCGGCTCAGCACAAGAGGCCGCAGATTCCGAAGGAAATACGGCTCGTGTGAAATGGGAAAATCCATGAAACACGGGGTTTTTCTAGGATATATGTATATATATATATATATATGTATATATATATATCCATTAACTATAAATATCCATTTGTATTTAAAATCACCTATAAATACCATGGAATACTGGGTTTTCATATGGATTTTCCATTGCCACCTTTGATTTCCGCTTTATTTTGGACATCCTTTTTGGGGGTAGTATATGTGCATATACAAATGCAAGCATTTCGTGGGAAGCAGGTTGAGTCACCTGTCTAGTTGGGCATCATTCCTGATGTCAGCTCTGCACAGGCTACACTAAATTTTCCATAAGACATACAGCCAACATCAACCAGGGGCAAAATATACTAATCTCCTCCCCTTAATATTAAACACCCCCTTAGAAACCATGGTTGAATAGGGAAATTCCACATCATTCGGAACCATGGACGGGGGGTGTTTTTGATATGAACGGGTGATGGGATTCATATCTCAACACCCCAGTGGAATTTATCGAACCTACTGTGGGACGCATAAGATTTCTTGAACCCGCAATGACTTACCAGCAATGCTTGGACAAATCATCCCCGCTAGGTCTGGGATGCAGGTGAATCAGGAAAATCATCCGGAAAATCGCCAGACGCATGTCATCCTGATGCTGGTGAAATTCCCCCAAAAAATCTTGTCATATCGTGTTCCATCACTAGCGAATCTCTGAAGAAATCCACTGCCGAATCTCGAAAATCCGATTTGAGGATCCAATTGGGTTTGTCTGAAAATAGTGTATCCCTCCACCCAATGGTTTTGCTGATCATTATCCCTACTTTTTATGGCTATTTCATTGGGGGTATACCCCATTTTCAGACATACCCAGATTCACTCACTCAAATCCTCTCTAAAATCCAGAGATTTGCTGGTTGAATCCCTTCAAATCCCCTGAAATGTGGCATTAATCCACAAAACCCATCAGGTGATGGCGAGTATTCCTGGAGTTTCGCCTCCTCGCGTCCCCGGAGTCAGTTAGAAACTGAGCACCAAAAAGATGCTGAAGAGTTGAGGAAAGTATGGTGAACATTGTTTAAAAAACCAGTGGTAAAGTCCTGGTAAAGTGATAAACATTCTGAAGATCTGATTTTGGGATGTGCTGTTCATCATAGAGAAACAGAGACATGTAAATAGGAACGTGTCTATGAATGTCCATTGGGACATGACATGTACATGAATTCAGTGGCCATTTCGATTTTCGCAGATTTGCAGATGAATCGATCGATAGGTAGATATATAGGTAGAAAGATAGATCCATCGACAGACGGATGGATAGATAGATAGAAATAAGCAAAAGACGCACAAACATGTAATTATACAGATTATACACGACATAATATAATCACACACACACATATATATATGTTTCCACGGCCCCGGAAATTAAGAGGAACACACCCATCATCCCCTTTTACGTTTTAGTGTTTTGGCTTAAGCTGAATGACTTGTAGGGAGTGCCGGGTTTTCCTCGGAAATCCGGTGTGTGGGGCCTGCCGAGCGGCGGATCGTGTGGTGGGCATACTTAAGGCTGGTCGCTTGCCTCAGAGTGAGGAACGGCGAGTGACCAGTCTTCTCCGAGGAATTGCTGGTGAGCTCTCCGATTTGGTGGAGGGTCACCTGTCTTCCGGAGGCCCAGGGCCGCCGCCGGGAGGACCGACCAAGGGGGAGACGCAAGCCCGGACCCCCGGGGCAGAACAGAAGAGTCAAGTGAAGACAGAACTTGACTCTAAGAGTGAGTATTCGTACACAGACGGTGAAGGAGAAGAGGAGGAGAAGGTAGCAGACAGCGAGGTCAAAGAAGGAAGTAAGACTGGTGAATCAGTCATCTCTCCAGAGCAGCCACCACTGGAGGGAGAGGGCAGCCCTGGAGTTAAAGCAGGAGACGCCCCACGTTCCAGCAGGGAAGAGGAGGCCTTGAGGGCGGCGCCAAAGAGGCAGCTGCACCCAGATTTCGACCCGAACTACCTGACCAAGAGGCTGCAGCTGTTCCCTTGTGGCAAAGCCAAAGCCAGGGGGGCTGAGGACGATCCCAGATACAGCAGAGGGTCGCGGCCGGTATCAGGCCGTGATCGCAGGGCGGAGGACGGCGACTTACAACGCCACAGTGCTCGCCCGAGGTCACCCGAACAACGCCGGGAGAGACGAGAGTCGCCAGACCGTCCTCCCTTGGTCAGACGGCCCAAGCCGCCTGAGGGTAGACGTGCCAAGAAGAAAGCCAAGAAGAAGAAGAAGAACAAAGGAGTCAAGAGGAGAGAGAGAGGACGCGACTACAGAGGAGGTAAGGGCTTCCGGAGGTCGCATCCCGGAGGCAGTCACTGAGGATGCCTCCGAAGGCCAAGGCCAAAGGGCAGGCCAAGGCGAGGGCCAGGGCTGCTCTGAGGCGGCCTGCGGCCAGAGTGCTGCGGAGGCCAGCTGCATTGGAGGATGCAGCGGAGGACCCTTGGGAGCTTGGACAGGAGGTAACTCTCAACAACCTCAATGCGTTGCAGCTGGCCCCGGGGTGCTCGTTGGTTGTCACGGAGGCCAGTTACTTTGGGGCCCGCATCAAGCTGGCGGGGGAGGTCAAGAAGCTAGAGGTGGACCAGAATGGATTGACAGCTCTCCTGAGTGCCCTGGGGACACAGCGAGGAGCTGTTAAAGGCCCAGACGGCTCGCCCAGGGGAGCTCTTCCGCTGTCACATCTGCCCCCCAGGGTGCGGGCAGCACGAAACAGGAGAGTACTTCGTCCACTGCCTGAAGGGTCGCCGGAAGCGAGCCGAAGGCGACGAGCCGTGGACGACCAGCCTAAAACACGGAGGAGCCGAAGCAGAGGAGGACGAGATGAGAGGCCTCCGGATGAGGTCAGAGGATTTGGCACGGGAGAGGGCCCCAGCAGGGGGTGCTCCCAGGCACGAGGCGGAGGTGCCAGGCCGGGAGGTCGTCGACGTGGACCCTCCCAAGGACACCAAGAAGAAGAGCAAAAAGAAGGAAAAGAAGAAGGAGAAGGAGATACAGAGTGGGCGATGCCCCGCCCGGGCAGCACAGAAGGAGGTGAAGATGATCTTTGGGGGAACCGGCCTGGATCCCTCAGAGAAGATCAGGCGAAGGGTGTTAGGTCGTGCCCAGCGCCTGGCCTCACGGAAGAGGAGGAGGAGCAGCAGCGGGAGCTCGAGCGATTCAACGTCCAGCTCGTCTCCCAGTGGGGAGGACCGTATAGGTCTCGAGACGGTCTTCACGGAGGAAACAAAGATCCAAGCTATCGCGGAGAGGTATCCAGGAGCGCTCACCATGGAATCGGTGTCCATGATGAGAAACGCCCTCCTGACAACGTCCGGGGAGCAGCTGGAGGACAAATCGGTGAGGCCGGTTGCCCTCCTGTACTTCCGGAGCGTGCTGGCAAAGAAAGCCAGCGGCGCACAAGGGAGAGAGCTGTTGAACATATCAGCAGCTCTCGACCAGCTGCTGAAAGGGCGCCCAGCCTGCGCTGCAGACATCTTGTCACAGCGGCTAAAGGCCCAGGAGTCCGTTTGCAATGGAACCCACTGGGCCATTGCCCTTCGGATGGAAGTGACACCAGCCGATGTTGGCGGTATCGCAGGGCGCCAGGAGTTGCAGGAAGCAAGGAAGGAGGACTACGAGGAGTCCCGAGCCTGCTGGAGGGCCCAAGCGTCGGGGCCCAGCAAGGGCGACGGCAAGACCAAGAACAAAGGCTCCAAAGGAGACAAGGATGCGTGGCGCAAGGACGAGAAGAAAGGAGAGGGCCGCGATCAGGGCAAGGGTCAACAGAAGAAGTAGTGGCACCTCCTGATACAATCCGTTCATTCAGGAGGGAGGATCAGGTAAAAGAAGCAGACTGGAGTCCCATGGCTGGAGGTGACAGTGTGGTGGAACCTCCTGGCAGGGGCTCGGGTCTAGAATTTTCCAAAGAGGGTGACCTGGCCGCTTTGAAAGGCTGTGGCCATCCGCCAGATAGAAGGGAGATCGGGCCTTTGGCGCCTGGTCAGAAGAGCCCTTCTCCTTTTCCGCCGCTACCTCCCTGGGAATTTTCGGGAGGTGGCGTGGGTGGTTTGTTACCGCCGATTTCTACGCCCCTAAGTGGTGGCGGCTCATCGTGTCACATCGCTGTGGATGAAGCGGCTGTCCGCTCCATGAGCAAAAAGAAGGGTTTGAGTGCTTTGGTAGGTTGCAGGGTCCTCGAGCTGGGGTCAGAAGTTCTCAATGGTCTCTTGGAGGTTTTCCCACTCCGTAGCCCGACCACGGGCAGGCGGAATTCCACTGATATTTTCCCCCTGCCTACCTCTAAAGAGATTTTAGGAGAGCTTTTCCCCCATTTTGATGACTCCTGCATTTTTTGGATGATGGCTATTTGTGTTTCACTGAACTGCCTCTGGGGTGGAGACGCTCACTCCATTGAAAAGCCAAATCGGGTGGCCAGCGAGTGTTTGGTTTTGCTTGGCCGGGAAGTGGCAAGGTTGCAGTATATGACAGGGAAACTGGAGAATTTTTCATGGGACAACTTTTTCAGCACTAGAGGAATCGACTATAAAGGCAATGAAGTCAAGACTGCCCGTACTTTCACCTGGGATAACATACGGCATGCATTGCCTGCCGAGATCGGGCGGGTGCCTTTAGAGGATGTCTGTACGCGAGGTGCCCAACACTATGTCCTTAATTTTGATTCGTTTATTAAGGATAGGGCAGCCTGGGTTCTGAAGAAGGCCCCACGTGTCATGGTGGCAAATGAGCACTGGGCAGAAGTCTGTACTGGTTTAGTTGAAGCGGGTGTCTGCACCATGCTGCCGGTGGAAGAGATTTTTGACACTGGCCAGGGGCCACTGCTTAATGGCCTGTTTGGAGTGTCGAAGGAGGAATGGGTTGGTGAGACGGAGGTTCTCCGACTTATCATGAATTTAATTCCTCTGAACAATATTGCTCACCCCCTCAAGGGGGACGTTGAGACACTCCCGATGTGGAGTATGATGAACCCGTTTTTTCTACAGCCGGGAGAACATCTTCTTATCAGTAGTGAGGATGTCAGATGTTTCTTTTACACAATGGCTGTCCCCTGTACCTGGTACAAATATTTAGCTTTCAACCGGGCAGTGCCTGCCCAGTGTTTGCCACCACATCTGCAAGGTCGTGACGTTTACCTAGCGGCAAAGGTCCTACCCATGGGATTCTTGAACAGTGTGTCGCTGGCGCAGCATGTGCACCGCAATCTGATGTTGTGGAGTGGCCGTGTTGCACAGGAGGAGGAGATTGCTAACCCTCCTGAGCTGGAGATCAGGAAAGACCGCCCATTGACAGTGGGCAACCCATCCTGGAGGATATATCTGGATAACTATGATCTCCTCGAAAAAGCTGAGGCGGCTGGGATTGGGGGCTTGGAGGGCAGTCTGGCCCCCTCTGTCTTAGCTCTTCGACAGGAATATGAAAGATGGGAAATCCCTCGTAACATGAAGAAGTCAGTTAGCAGGCAACTCCGAGCAGAAGTCCAAGGAGCGCAGGTTGATGGTGAGCTTGGCGTTGTCTATCCAAGGGAAAGCAAATTGTTAAAGTACCTTGCAGCCACCCTGTCCCTGGTCCAGGAGGATTTTGTTTCACAAAAGCAAATGCAAGTGGTATGTGGAGGGCTGGTCTACATTTCAATGTTCCGTAGACCCCTCCTAGGTTGCTTGAACTCAGTTTGGAGTTTTATTGAGAGTTTCAATCAGGAGGGTCCTTCCGTCAAGCGGTTCCCTCCTCAGTGCAAGTCAGAGATCTTGAGGTTAATTGGCCTCCTCCCTCTTGCCCGACTGGACTTCCGAGTCCCATTCCACGAACAAGTCACGTGTAGTGACGCTTCATCATCAGGAGGCGGAATTTGTGCTTCAGCTGGTTGCACACCTCTTGGGCACTACGTGAGTAAGGGTCAGCTCCGTGGGGAACTTCCAGAGTTGCGCCACGATCATCAGATCCTTACAATTGGATCCACCTTCAAATTTCAGCTACGAAATGGGGAGGACTTGGGCTACAGTACAGATTGCCAGCCAGGATTTTTTTGTACAAACAGGAGGGGTTGTGCCCCCCATTTTGTATTTGGAATCATTTTGTAGTTGATTCCTTACAAATCATCATTTTCATTTTGTAGTTGTATATGTTGAGTTAGTTGAAGCATCCAACATAAAATATCATTAGCATTTTGTAGTTGTACAAGTTGAATAGTTGAAGCGTCCAACATAAAATTTCATTTGCATTTTGTAGTTGTATGTATGAAAGAAGTTTGACATGTTGAAACTATAAGCATAGTAACAACTTTAAAATATGTATGGTCAACATGAAACAAAGAATTCATCACAAACAAACAACCAACACAATCCAACTTTTTCAATCATGACAACTAAATGTGATGGGAATTTTTTGGTCAAAGACCCAACTACAAAATGTCATTGGGAAAAATCAGGTTAGCAATTCCGACGTTCAGCTATTTTTTAACTTCAGATGCATTGGATTTTGTAGTACTGGTTTTGAATTATTTTCCGAGCCAGAAAGAGTTATGTTCTTCATTTTGTAGCTGCAAAAAAAAAACAACATGCACTGCATTTTGTAGTTGTGCACCCTATGCATTCCGCTTTGTATCTACCAAAACATACCAAAACCATCTGCACAACTCCTCCCCCCTTATCTGAACCCTGATACAATTGGCCTTTTTGATGGAATTGGTGCCTTAAGGGTGGCTGTTGACCTTTTGGGCCTCCAGGTGATTGGCCATATCAGTGTTGAAGCCAACCCACACGCCCAAAGGGTGGTGGAGTCTCATTTTCCGGAGGCCATTTTGGTGTCCGATGTGAAGCAGGTGAGCAGTACTATGGTTCGGGAGTGGGCACGATTGTACTCCCAGGCGTCAGTGGTGGTGATTGGAGCCGGACCCCCCTGCCAGGGGGTCAGCGGTTTAAATTGCGACCGCAAGGGTGCTTTGCGGGATGAAAGGTCAAGTCTTTTCTCCCATGTACCTCGCGTCTCAGCCTTAGCCAAGGAAGCTTTTCCATGGTGTCAGGTCCATACACTGATGGAAAGTGTTGCGTCTATGGACAAAGCGGATCGGGACATCATGTCCAGCGCTTTTGGGGAGCGCCCCTGGAAATGTGATGCAGGAACGTTGTCTTGGTGCAGCAGGCCTCGCCTGTATTGGCTGACCTGGGAGGTTTGTGACATGGAGGGGGCAACGCTTGATGTCTCTCAGGATCCCCAGTGCATCCTCCTAGAGGCATGCCAAGACCTGGAGATGGTGTGTCAGGAGGGGTGGATTAAAGTGGACCCTGATCGCCCTTTTCCCACATTCACGACCTCCCGTCCACGGACTTCGCCGGGACGAAAGCCTGCGGGAATCCACAGTTGCACGTCGGAGGAGGTGGCTCGGTGGGAAAAGGACCAATTCCGGTACCCTCCCTACCAGTACGCCAATCGCAACCTCCTGATCAACCGGCGCAACGAACTGCGGCTCCCAAGTATCGAAGAAAAAGAGTTTATGATGGGGTTCCCGGTCCACTACACGATCAACTCAGTGGAGAAGAAACACCGTGGGTCTGTCAGTCACATGGACATTCGGCACTCTCTCATCGGTAATAGCTGGTCTGTGCCGGTTATCGCGTGGGTGTTGGCGCAACTGTTTGGACGGCTGGGCCTGTGCCCTTTGTACACCCCCCAGCAGCTGATGGATCTGCTATCACCTACTGGGCAGGTTTTTCTCCAGTCTCGACTCTGGAGGAGACCTTTGCGTCCAATGCGCGTCCAGGAGGTCTCGGGCGAGCCTCCTTTAGTACACAAGCTCTCCAACCTCATCAGCATCAAAGGTGAAGACATCTTACTTACCACGCCTTCCAGCCAGCTTTGCAAGTATCACAGGCTCCGCGCATCAGTGCCAGCAAGGCTCTGGAAGTGGCGTGTGGTGGCCGGGTGGAAGTGGAGTTCGAAAGAGCACATAAACAGCCTTGAATTACGCGCCACACTGACTGCCCTCAAGTGGAGGGTCCAGTATCGTGGGCAGCTTCGCCACCGATTTTTACATCTGGTGGACTCTTTGGTGGTATTACACTGCCTTGCAAGAGGCCGGTCCAGCAGCAAAAAACTACGGTCGTCCCTGTCTCGAATAAATGCGCTCTTGCTCTGTAGCTCCTCACAGGCCCTTTGGGGCTATGTTCATACTGAACAGAACCCCGCCGACAAGCCAAGTCGGTGGGGCCGCAAGTTGAAGACAAAGTTTAGAAATGCCTAAAAGAGTTTTGGAAGGAGCTACACAATCCGCAAGAGCACAGCAAAGACAGAAGTTGGGACGACTAAGGGACTTGACTGTACAACCAGCAACAAAGGCGCGTTACACCAAGGCAGTTGATGCTTTTCTCACCTTCCTCCACGAGAACCACTTGACACTCCCTAAACAGAGACATCACCTCGACCCTCTAGTCTGTGACTTCCTGGAGCACCTCTGGGCCCATGGTTATGGGAGGGCACAAGCCAGCGATACTCTGGCAGGGCTCCAAGACTCAGACGCAAAGCTCAAAGGTCACCTCCCAGGAGCCTGGCGGCTCCTCAAGACATGGCATGTGAATGAGGTCCCTAACAGGGCACCTCCACTACCAGAACATGTGCTACATGCTATGGTGGGATGGTCCTTTTTCCACCAGCATTTCAGTTTTGGTGTTTCTCTACTTTTGGGATACTATGCGATGTTACGCACAGGTGAATTGCTGGGTTTGCGAAGCTCTCATGTCTCTTGCACCCGTAACCCTACCAAGGTCGTGATTTCCTTAGGTTAAACCAAGGGCGGCAAGCGCCACGGTGCGGCCGAATCTTGCGTGGTTGGGTATGACATGGTAGTAGCTTTTCTCCGACAATGGAAAGCTTTGGCTTCCCCCACTACCCCATTCGCCTCAAATCCTCCTTCGTGGCGCAACCTCTTCAATCAGGCTCTTCAAGCTCTTAAACTTGAACAATTTGGCTTCAGGCCTTATAGCCTGCGTCGTGGTGGTGCCACGTGGTGGTTTGCGAAGCATCATTCGCTAGACCAGATTTTAGTGCAAGGGCGGTGGCAGACGCCCAAAACAGCTAGAATCTACCTCAACGAGGGCCTGGCGGTCCTGGCGGAATTACAGCTCCCTACGAGCCACCCATCCCTGCTTCCTTTTCTCTCTGTTTTCACCCGTTTTCGTAAGTCCCCTTATTTTCAAACACTTGAGCCTCCGGGCCAAAGGCCCGGAAGAACAGGGGGACGTGGAAGGGTGCCTAAGAAAGGCAACAATGGGCGCAGAAAGCCGAAAAGGCGATTCCTTTTGTCTTGTGTTTTTCTTTTCTTCCCTTTTGTGGCATTTGGCTTAATGCTATCCTGATGAATGAATGGGAGGGTCTGGCCCAAATTTCATTCAAAGATAGATGATGTTTCGTGAAGCCACTGGGTCTGGCCGGGCTTTCACTCTATTTTCCTTTTCTCTCAGGTTTATTCTTATTTTGATTTAACAACTTCGCTACGGAGTGGAGTAAAAGAGACGATGTGTGTGCCGACTCTTTGTTTCCACGGCCCCGGAAATTAAGAGGAACACACCCATCACCCCCTTTTACGTTTTAGTGTTTTGGCTTAAGCTCCCACACCTCCCTCCCAGTTTTTCGGGAGCGGAAGGGTGCCTAAGAAAGGCAACAATGGGCGCAGAAAGCCGAAAAGGCGATTCCTTTTGTCTTGTGTTTTTCTTTTCTTCCCTTTTGTGGCATTTGGCTTAATGCTATCCTGATGAATGAATGGGAGGGTCTGGCCCAAATTTCATTCAAAGATAGATGATGTTTCGTGAAGCCACTGGGTCTGGCCGGGCTTTCACTCTATTTTCCTTTTCTCTCAGGTTTATTCTTATTTTGATTTAACAACTTCGCTACGGAGTGGAGTAAAAGAGACGATGTGTGTGCCGACTCTTTATATATATATTATGCATATGTGTATATATATATAAATGTATATATATATACATGTATGTATGTATGTATACATATATATATATGTATATATATGTATATGTATATGTGTATATATATATATATGTATATATGTATATATATATAGATGATAGATATAATATAAATATATATATTATATTTATATTAAAAAAATAGTCCAGCTTTGCAACCCAACAGCAGGTTCTAAGTTTCCAGGACTTTCCAGGGTTCCAGCCTTGTGGTTCCGTTCCGGTTTTTCGGGCAACCCCGCACCACTCCCAGACCGTTTGAGATTGAAACCCAACCGTCACTGCTGTTGGGAAGAATATGTATGTATTTGCATATTACGCATGCATATTTATTATAGATGTATACATATATATATATATGTATGTATGTATGTAATGTAATGTAATCTAATGTAATGTATGTATGTATGTATGTATTTATTATAGATGGCATATGAATATATAAATGCACACACACACAAGAATATATTAGATGTATATATTTATGATATGCATATATCTATATATACATATTTCCATAAATGCATAGGCACATTCCTCCGCGATTTTGGTGTATCCCCAGGCGAGCGCCCCGGCTCCGTACGCGGCAGAAGACCTTGCGAAGCCCATTCTACAGCTTTCAGGAGGTGCGACGGGGAGGCGTTGATCCATTGGTGGATCGGCCTGGTTGGCAACGGGGATTTTCACCGGAACCCCCCATGATCTTCATGGTAAAAACCCATGGGTTTCCGGTGATGTTCCTTTTAAACCAATCCAATGAAACATAAGAAGATCATGAGAATATCGTGAGATATCCGAGAAAAATAGGCATTTTACAATTTTTGTAGCCTATTTTGATGACACAATGGTGGATTTCTGATGGAACGGCCTCTTGAGTCCCACACCAGTTCCAGAGGACCTCTACCTTTTCCCAGTTCCAACCTGAAATAGCCATGGTGCTTCCCCTGGTTCCAACGTTGGAACGTTCTGTTGGGTTTCCTCACATTTCGGGAAACAAACCCATGGCCCATGTCTCAGGAGTGGTCCTGGTCTGGCGACGATTCTGGCATCGAGAAGGTCCCCGCCTATGATGAGTTTAATCCCATCATCCCCTTGATATTTTGATGGCTTTAGTCAAACATGGAGATTAAACATGGCTTAACCATCAACCGGGAACCGTGGTCACATCTGGGTTCTATTTGGGTGACATCGATATGACAATATGGATCAAAGTTGGAACAAAAGGAGGAAAAACCGGGTGCCAGGTTCTTGAACAGCCATATCTCCCAATTTCAGATGCTACGGCCTTGACGGTCGAATGCTACATTTGTGTCTTTTTTCAGCGACATGCCCTCCGGTAACGCTAACAGAAAATCCACACTTTACATCTTCATATTGTTCAGGTTTCGTGTCAACTGGTGTAGATTCATTCATTTGGTTTCCAGAAATCATGGTTACGATTGGGGTAACCTTCACCAAAATAGCCAACATTTCAGTTGATGAGTTATTATGATTCACCCAGATAGATAGGACTGATAGATAGACGGATAGATGGATAAACAGGTAGATAGATGATTGACACATTATCATGTCCCCATTATAATCTGGTTGGTGGTTTGGAACATTTTTTTATGACTTTCCGTTCAGTTGGGAATGTCATAATCCCAACTGACGAAGTCCATCATTTTTCAGAGGGGTTGGTGGCTCAACCACCAACCAGTTATGTTATATCAGTTATATCTATATATAATCCCATCATATAACCATATATAACCACTATTATTGGCATTATAACCAACCAGTAATCATTCGAATCCACCAGGATTCATTGTGGAAAATTCCCAGGATTTATGAAGCTCACGTCGTTTTCATTAACCGTCGGAATGATGGGAATGAACGGAAAGGAGGAATCATCCAAAAATAGCCGGCCTTAAGTTTCAGCTATTAGGTTGAGTGAAGTACTATAATTATCTAGAACTATCATTCAGCCAGATGATTCATCCAAGGTTAATTATGGTGATATAACTTTTCATGATCTTCCTGTTGGTGAAATATGTTGATGCTAAATTCCAAACTCATTCCATGAATTCAGCCATGATTCTCATCGCTGAGTTTTCCTCCAGGATTTGGTTTTCAGCGAGCGCAGCAGCTTCGGTCCGGTCCGCAGAGAGTTTTGGATCCAAAATGCTGATTTGACTCGCAAAGTTGTGACTTCAGCCACAGAAATGCCGTTTTTTTCATGGTTTTTCATATCTTACCATGAAAATCGGTATGAAAAACCATGGTTATTCACTGTTTTCGATTCTGGAGAGTGGTTCGATACCAAGAACGCTCTTTTTCTAATCGGGAAGCGATGAACGTGGGGCTCACGGCTAGGGTCCCCGGAGTGCGAAACGCCTGCGAAGCTCATAGAGAAGGCCTGGAGAATCACCAGGAAAAAACGCTAGGCGCATGAAACGAAATGTGCAATTTCCATTGCTATGTCAAATTGCCGACTTTTTTTCAAACATGGACATGTGGGATGCCTGATGTCCAAACATGAGATGCTGTGAGGTGGGATTGGAAGTGCAGACATCTCCAATCACAGGTGCGGGGAAGGTGAGTGAAGCCTGGTGAAGTCCACAGGAATTTGTGACTCGCATTGCTGGTGATGCCAGTGAAATAGCCATGTTGACTGCCACAGGTATATAGCCATCCTGGAGTAGATAGAAATATGATCATTTCAAGATATCTTCACAAGGGTGGGGACGTTTCTGAAACTCCCACATTCTATCTACTTCAGGATGATTATGGATTTAAAACACACGCACACACACAGATATATACATACATACATACATACATACATACATACATACATACATACATACATACATACATACATACATACATACATACATACATACATACATACATACATACATACATACATACATACACACACACAGACATACATACATACATACATACATACATACAACATACATACATACATACATACATACATACATACATACATACATACATACATACATACATACATACATACATACATACATACATACATACATACATACATACATACATACATACATACATACATACATACATACATACATACATACATACATACATACATACATACATACATACATCATATATATATATGTATATATATATATATGTACACCTAAAGTTGGATAGATGAATATTCCCAGCATGTTTAGAAAAGGAAATTATCCGCAGCCATTTGAACATGTGTCGCGGCGAAATTCTCTGAGACTCGACCCCCATTGCTGCACCCAGATTCTGCAGCGCCCAATGATGCCGCACTTGGCAGGGAGATCTACCATCGGTCTAAGCACCTTGTGCGGAAGCCAAATTATTCATCCATACTCTGGATGGTTGCGAAATCCTGCGCCAGTTGATAGGTTGTTTATCCCATTGTTGTTGGGGTTTCAACCATCCTTTTGGTGGTGCATGATTTCTGCCATCCACAGTAGGTGCCGGAGGTTGCGATTTTCATACCAACAGTTCCAGGTGAGGGGATAGCTAGAAGCCTCGTAGCACTCATGGTGATGCAACTCCACTTCAGCAACGGCTTGCCGGCGAATCCCAGTAAGTCTGACAGGACCATGGGTTCAGCTTGTATTCCCCTCATGGGTTCATGTGATATTTGTTGCCACCATGTGCTGGTTTGATCCCCCAGTATGAAGTCTTGCTTGTTACCAGCAGTATAGTCGTGTCCTTTGACTTGGCCAATAACAACACCGGTTTTTCCACGACCCAACGACCTCCCAAAAAATCAATCCAGTCATTTGTTTGGGGAGGTTTCAAATCGGGTTCAAGCCATTTAAAGCAGCATTTTGGTTGTTTCAACCAGGCTCACTTCTCACCGAAGCATTTCAGATGCGAGGCAGCGGCTGAAACAATGGGATCTTGGGGTGCCTTTCAGTGCTGATTCGGCTCATTTCATATCTGCCCCAGGCCAGTTTTGAATGTCCTACAAGGTGGTGCCCCCTAGATAGCTAAGTTGGTTTATAACTCCAATAACTATGGTTTATAGGTGATATATCTATAGTTAATGGGATTATAAACCATCTTATAACTGGGGGGCACCACCTTGTATGATTTCTGATCAGAGCCTGGACATGCCTAACCTTTGAGCCTTGGGGGCTGAGCCAGGCCGAGGCCAGCTACAGTGCCAACAAAGACGGTCGGAAGCAGGGAAACCGAGCGGTGCTTGGCTCTCTGGGATTCACCGTCATAAGGAAAATGCAAGTGTTTTGAAGTGTCGGGATTCCCAGGATCACTGAACTGGCCAACTACATGGTGACATGAAATGCACTCATGAAGCAGGTGCACAGTGGTCCCCACCAAAAATTGCCACGATTCTCTCTGCTCGCAGTCCCTTTGTGGCTGGCCGCGTTCCCGTTCCATACCCTGGCCCCTGTCAGGGTGTCCAAAAAAAGCCGCCCATCTCATGGTGCAAAGGTGGCGGCTGGCGGCCTTTGGGGTGGCAGTCACTGCAGGCGTAGCGTTCTGCCCTCGGTTTCTGCCGCCCCTGGAATCCATGGCCCCCGGAGCCAGTGCGGCGACGCCGGCCACGCCCTGCTTCCCGTTGTCCTTGCAACGGGCTGCGTTGCCGGGGGCCAAGAGGACGCTGAATATCATGGAACCCAGGTGCGGTGGGTGCTGATTTTTTCTGGGCCGCTCTGCTTTTGGATCAACGGAATTACCTTCATTTTTGAGGCCTCATCTTACCCAACATTCCTGATGATCACTCCAAGAATTGGTGTAAGGCCGATGGGAAAACTTACATGACACATCATGACACACTTCAGTTTGATAGCCCAAAACTGCAATTTCCATTAACATGTTCCCTTAAATCCATCGAATCCTCACCTTATAAATAATGTAATCAGGGTTTTATGAGGGTTTATGTTAATTATAACTTATAACTATAGTTATAGCACCCCCCCGGAGATAGAACAGCAAAATCCTACAAAATATACCATGATAATCCATGATCAATCCGATAAATTACACCTTTTTCTGTGGATTTTGGGTTTACTATCGCTTTCCTAACATTACGAATGTGGGTAAAACAATTTCATAAACCATCCATGACTGGGAATGGTAAACATACCACATAAAAATGGTTATGACTGGGCAATTGTTTATGGCATTGTTTTACCAACATTAACCACTAGATATCATTATAATCCACTAGATATTGCTGGATTATGGTGGATTATAAACCATAAAAATATATTTGGATTACATTATATTGGAATATTCTAGGATTATATTCTAATATCTAGGATTTTCCTAACATTAAATATTTTAAACCACATTACGGTTTTAACCACATTATCATTAACATTCATTAACCATCATTAACCCATGAATAATGACCAGTTACTATTTTTTAGTCATATTTAGTATTTGTATTATTAATCATTACTATTATTGCTAACCAGTTACTGTATTTATTGTTAATAATAGCCAGTTACTATTATGTAATATTAATCATTTAAAATCATTAACATGGCTATATTGATGGCCTTTGTTGGCATTGACATGGTATAAATATGGTATGAATTATGGGTATGTGGCTATATTGGCATATATTAGCCGGTTGGTGGTTTGGACCATTTTTTATTTTTTCCATCCGTTGGGAATAATCAAATTTCATCCCAACTGATGAACTCCATGATTTTTCAGAGGGGTAGGTATACCACCAACCAGCTATATGTGTTCCCATATTTTCCCATTAAAACCTCCATTGAGTCGGGCTTGGTTGAAACCACCAACCAGAGGGTAGACATTCCTCCGGTGTTTTTTTTGGTGTTTGACCATGGTCCATGGCAGGTATCAGCAGATGTATCGGGACCTTTTGGCCAACGGCGCCCGTCGGGTGGTGGTGCCGCGCTATGTGCAGGGCCCTGCAGGCACCTATTTGGCTGAAGCTGCGGTGGAGCCTTGGTGGAAGCTGATGGAAATCCTGCAGTTAACCAACATGAACCAACGGAAAACCATAGGAAAACCATAGGAAAACCATAGGAAAACCATAGGAAAATGGAGGTTTACCCTCTGGTAAACTAACAAAAAACTATGGAAAGATCCACCATTTTTAAATGGGAAAATCAACTACTTCTATGCTGAAGTATGCTGAAGTATGCTGAAGTACGGGGACGTACTGTGGAATGGGCCAGCGAAATCCGAATCACCAGTTTTTTTGGGTGGTAAGTTGATCCGAATATTTGGTTTGGCTTTCTACCATCCCAGGTGGTGCAGGATTTCGCAACCATCTAAGCAGTATGGTTGACATTAAAAAGGATGGGGCCTCCAGTCGAAATCGCGTTCAATTGCCTATAGTATAGTGTATAGTTTATGGTAGATATAAGCTATACTCAATGGGGTCGACAAACTTATACTGGGGGACCCCATCCTGTATGTTAAACTATGTTTAATAATGTTAATGATTATTTCATGTTATAACTATGACTATTAAATGTTAATAATCGCTAAGTGGGATAAGTATTATGTTATCGATGTTATTTCTATAAATGGTGATTTGATGTTATAACTATGGGGGCAATAATGGTCAACCATGATTAATAACTATGGTTCATAGTTATTTCATGCCAGAACTATGGTGAATGATTATTTCATGTTATAAGTATGGTTATTAAGCACTTGCTAAGTGGGATGATCCTGGGATCTAGTCACTAGTCATGTCTAACATCTCTGGTCATTTTATGGGCGATGAATAAACCATGGATGATCTCGAATTTTACTGGATGACCTATGGACTCCTATGGACCATGGTGTAAGATCAGTTACCATCTAAGCCCACATGGCCAGCCATCCAGCCATGTGGCCTAGCTATCTCCACATGGCCATCATCGATGATCGCCACAGATAGGTGGAGCTTGTAGCAATCGGCCTCCGTGAACCATGGCGGATCAAACAGCGACACTATTGAACACACACCATGCCCATTTTTTCCTGACATACTTTGAAACCATCTGGTCTTGCAAAAACCATGTTTTGCCCTCTTTGAACCAGCTATTGGAACCATGAAAGATCTTGTTTTGGTCTCAAAATCCCTATTGTTTTGGTTAAACTATGGAACATGATGGAAAACTATGGAAAACGATGGAAAACTATGGGACAAATGATGTTTTCCATCCCTTTTTTCCCATTGGAAGAATTCACGATCCTTCCTCAGGTCTTCCATCTCCTGGATGTCAAGGACGCACCACCGGGCTCCCGCACGCGCTACGTGTGTCAGCACCAGGTTGCCACGGGAAATCATCCCAAATGGCCCAAGAATTCCCAACATTTCAGGTTACCCTCTGGTAATTTAACATAGCTATGGAAAATCACCATGAGAGAATGGGTAAATCCACTATAAATGGTCATTTTCAATAGCTATGTTAGTTTATCAGAGGGTAACTATGATTATTTACCCAGATTAATGTGGGCACATATATATATATACAGATAGATAGATAGATAGATATAAGTAGGTATTTACACTTATTTACATATACACATATTTGAATGTAGATGCTTGCACATATATACATATACGCACACACACACATATATATATAGAATTATATACATATGCAAATCACATACAAAATAATACATACATACACATATCTATATATAATAATAATATATATATATATACACATTTGTATCCATATTTGTGCATCTGGTTCCATCTTCGGCATGGCATCTCCGCGACATTTGAAAACAGGTGCTGCCGAAGGTGGTGAAGATCACTCGAGTGCTGAACCCGGAGGCCTTTGAGAAGAAAACGACCTATCTGAAGGCACTGGGGATCCTGGTTTTTTTTCGGCCAGGGCTAGGGGTTCGTGGGGCCCCCCAGTGATGTTAGTTGGTTTATAAACCCCATGAATACTATAGTTAAAAGCACCATAAACCATAGTTATTGGAGGTTATAAACCAACTTAGCTATTGAACGGGGGCCCCACATTGTAGGGGTTTTTATTTGTTTATTATGGGTGATTCACCTAAAAATGGAGGGTGATAGCTGGGAAAATCTGCAAACAACATGTGTTTTTGAATGGGACAATTATTGACATAAATGGGGTATTTTCCAGCCAGCCACGTTTGATTAGCAGAGGGTATTGTTAAATTAGCATCTGGTTGTTTAACATAGTGATGGAAACCATGGCCCATAATAAGATATGATAACAATGATGATTCAGTAAACTAAGTTGGGTTTATGGGAATTATAACTATAGGTACTGATGGGGGTTATATACACCAACTCTATGGCAATTACAGCTGTAGTTAATGACTATAGTGATTGGACATAGCTACGGAAGCCATGGCCCATAGACATACATAGATGATAAACATTATGATTTATCTGTAAGAAGTAGTGATTTCCCATAGCTACTTGGAATATCTACTGTAAACTAGGGATACAGGATGGGGGCCCCCAAGATAGTTGAGTTGCCTTGTAAGTGGCTGAATTCTATAGCTTATGGTAGATATAACTATAGTGAACTGGGGGGCCCCATCCTGTATGTTATAACTATGTTGAACCATGAATATCTAAACTATGGTATTTTTTCCGAATATCTAATGGCCCTTTTTATCTATGAATATCCATCCTCCAAACCTATGATTATCTAAATGGATATTCCTAGACCGATGGATAATGTATAATATTAAATGGATATCTAGATAAAGCCTATGAATTTCCAAACCTATAATGGATATTCATGGGCTTTATCAACGAATTTATGTCGCTGGAAAAAAAAACCACAGACAACCAGCAGTCCGAATCCTCCAGTCACCATGATCATCCATGATCTCTATATTTCTATATGTTTCTAAATATTTATATATCATTATTGTTATTTTCTTTTATTATAGTATTGTTGTTGCTATTCTTGTTGTTGTTATTATATGATATCATTATTATTGTTATTCTTGTTTATTATTATTACTATTATGTATTATTAAATTATCATTGTTATATTTATACATTGTATATATATGATATACATTTATTATTTACCACTGACCTACCATTGATACACACACACACATATATATATATATACACCATGTTTTTAAACAGCCACTGAAGTCTTTCTTCCACCTGGGACGTGTCGTCCAGCGTCGCGTCTTCGTCGTTCGCAGGTTGAGTGTCAAGAAATCGAAGACTTGGACCCGGACGACGATTTGTCAGTCGAGGAGGAGCTCTTGTCACCTAATGGGGATTTGTTGGATGACTTCATGATATTTGCTCCAGCCAACATGATGTTTGTTAATGGAACTTTCATATGGTTTATTCGTTCAAAAATAGGGAAAAACCACCAAGAAAAATGATGATGTCACCAGATGGAGGTTTAATCTGGTTTGATCGGGGGGGGGGCCAAGGTCTGAAGCTGAATCCCCAGAAACGGTTCGCAATTTTCACTTTTTTTCCCCCTCTTCTCGGGTGATACCATCTGGTAATTTAACGTAGCTATTGAAAATGGCCATTTATAGTGGATTTTCCCATTAAAAATGGTGATTTTCCATAGCTATGTTAAATTACCAGAGGGTATATGCTGGGTTTTCATAGGTGTCCTGTTCCCACTGGTTCGTTGATGAATAGAGGGATTATAACCCCATTGAACATGATATAAACAATCTGCCTATTTTTGCAACAGGATGCTAATGATCATTTCCCTCAGAAAAAAAAACAACATGTCTTATTGGGTTTATTAGGTTTAATGGGGAAGATTATGGTTAATTGGGGTAAAATGGTAAACTGTGATGAAACCATCTGTGGGTTTCTTTCTGTGTCTGCGAAAATTTGTCTGGACAAAACCATATGAATGCTCCAACAATGGATTGGTTTAGGGGAAAACCTACAGGAAAACATGGATTTTCCTGTGAAAACTGGGATCTGATTTAAACTTGGTCGCATCATATAAAGTCCGTGGTTGAATTCAAAGAAAACGGACAAAACATCGGAATTGTCCATAGTAATGACCCGTCTTTAAATGTGGCCCAACAATTGGTCCAGCCCATTTTCCATTCCGAGTTTCAGTCGGGGTGTGACGTGACTTATGCACGAAACACGGAGATATGGGATGAGAGCAGTAAACTGACATAAACTGACCAATGTGGGAAAAATAATTATTAACCACCCATGACTGGGAATGGTTTGAATACCACCTATAAAAATGGTGATGACGTGGGGATGGTGCAAATGGCATTGTGTTACCCACATTCACCTGCTTGGGCCCGATGAATCGACACATATCATGGCACTTTATATTTATGGCAATAGATGGATTAAATATGATTAAATCCTTAAACGCTTCACTAATAAGTGTTACTAAGCACTTCACTAATATGTCTTGCTAACCATTTCTGGTTGGTGGTTCGGAACATTTTTGAACTTTTTTCCATATATTGGGAATAGTAACCCCAACTGACGAACTCATATTTTTCAGAGGGGTAGGTATACCACCAACCAGATTTTGGGTCATCTCATTGAGCAGAAAGAGTGATCAGCAAGGGTGGCTATGAATCCCTGGTTGACACGATTTATTCATGTGATATCCATTATTAGTGAGATATTTAATATAATTAATGGGTATTACTAAATGATTTTTTTTTAAACACACACACACATATATATACACGTATATATATATATATGTATACATATGATTATATATTATATCTCACGTCCTAGTGGATATTGGGACCAGTAAAAAAAAATATTCCCTGTTCGCCATTCGCCAATCGGCAGTTGGAGCTACGAATTGAGTTTTAAAAAAATCACAGATGTTCGCCATCGGTTTCCAGCCATCCAGTTTACCCTCTGGTAAACATACAAAAAACTATGGAAAATGGCCATTAATAGTGGATTTTCCCATTAAAAATGATGATTTTCCATAGTTATGTTAGTTTACCAGAGGGTATACGCGTTTACCACGCAATACATTACCAGTTTATCCGTTCACCACGCATATTTTTGACAAGAGATCCCAGTTTCTGAAGAGGTAAAGAAGTAATATCCCATATAAATGGATATCAAACATCATAGTAGTTTAGCAATGGATGTTCAATATAGTTACCAATGGAATACTGGAATACCATACTGTAAACTATATTTGCATAATCATACTACCATAACAACATCCAGTGTTTATACCATAATATATCCATTCAAAAGACATTACCAGTCTAGTAGAAGATAAGCCATAGTTTTTGATCCCGTCCCAAATTTAAATATGAAACAAGCCAGAAACCATGGTTTACCCTCGGGTAATTTGTTACCTAGCTCTTGAAAATGGCCCATGGGTTGTTGATTTACCGAACTTAAAGATGGTGGATCTTTCCATAGCTATGTGAGTTTACCAGAGGGTAACAAATACTGAACTGGTCTAAAAATATGATGAGTTTAATCATGGCTATGTTAGGTTTCAATCTGTTTCAATACTGAAATGAGTTTACCAGAGGGTAGTAGGGGATATACACATACTTGGGAGCATCGAAGATCCCAGGAGCAGCTACGTGACGAGTTGCTCCAACTGGCAATGCTGGGAAGGGCCACTGGCTCGCCACCGCTACGACGTTGCGACGACTGATGGGGGAGTACCCAAGTTGTGATATTATCTATCTATCTATCTATCTATCTATCTAGATTTACATTATACAGATCCGCAGTAACAAATTCATAGCCATTATAATACGGTTAACTACTTTGGGGTTCAGTTCCAGTTCTCCTCCCGGTTGATACTGGTATTCATAATATCCCACAATTTTTGGCTTATATCCCAACTGTTGAAGGTTATAGCCATGGTTATATCCATTGGTAATCCCAACTGCACCCCTGCACCCCTCACCCACCAACTAGTGATATTGTTATATATATATATGGATACACGCACATATATATATATAGCAACCCCCAAAGAGATTGTGAAAAGCATATAATTCTTCACCGTTTTAGTCGGATTTCGCTTTTCTATCTTTTTGGTGGTTGCTACATAAATCTAAATGATATAGTTTAGATATAAATGCAACCACACATACACACACATACAACTATATGTATATATAGAGGTAGGGTATAGATATGCACTGTATACACTGAACACCTGGTGGTGTTATCTTTCTTTTTGATGCTGTTCCAATGGGACGAATGGCGTGGCTCTCCCACCCTCGATTTTTATCAAACCTGGCTTGCTGGAAAATCACCCAGCAATAGTTCGATCAAACGTGGAATTTCCAGCCACCTCCATGGCTAGTTCAGGGATCAAACGTGGAATTTCCAGCCACCTCCATGGCTAGTTCAGGGATCAAACGTGGAATTTCCAGCCACCTCCATGGCTAGTTCAGGGATCAAACGTGGAATTTCCAGCCAAGTTCAGGGATCAAACGTGGAATTTCCAGCCACCTCCATGGCTAGTTCAGGGATCAAACGTGGAATTTCCAGCCACCTCCATGGCTAGTTCAGGGATCAAACGTGGAATTTCCAGCCACCTCCATGGCTAGTTCAGGGATCAAACGTGGAATTTCCAGCCACCTCCATGGCTAGTTCAGGGATCAAACGTGGAATTTCCAGCCAAGTTCAGGGATCAAACGTGGAATTTCCAGCCACCTCCATGGCTAGTTCAGGGATCAAACGTGGAATTTCCAGCCACCTCCATGGCTAGTTCAGCCACCTCCATGGCTAGTTCAGGGATCAAACGTGGAATTTCCAGCCACCTCCATGGCTAGTTCAGGGATCAAACGTGGAATTTCCAGCCACCTCCATGGCTAGTTCAGGGATCAAACGTGGAATTTCCAGCCACCTCCATGGCTAGTTCAGGGATCAAACGTGGAATTTCCAGCCAAGTTCAGGGATCAAACGTGGAATTTCCAGCCACCTCCATGGCTAGTTCAGGGATCAAACGTGGAATTTCCAGCCACCTCCATGGCTAGTTCAGGGATCAAACGTGGAATTTCCAGCCACCTCCATGGCTAGTTCAGGGATCAAACGTGGAATTTCCAGCCACCTCCATGGCTAGTTCAGGGATCAAACGTGGAATTTCCAGCCACCTCCATGGCTAGTTCAGGGATCAAACGTGGAATTTCCAGCCACCTCCATGGCTAGTTCAGGGATCAAACGTGGAATTTCCAGCCACCTCCATGGCTAGTTCAGGGATCAAACGTGGAATTTCCAGCCACCTCCATGGCTAGTTCAGGGATCAAACGTGGAATTTCCAGCCACCTCCATGGCTAGTTCAGGGATCAAACGTGGAATTTCCAGCCAAGTTCAGGGATCAAACGTGGAATTTCCAGCCACCTCCATGGCTAGTTCAGGGATCAAACGTGGAATTTCCAGCCACCTCCATGGCTAGTTCAGGGATCAAACGTGGAATTTCCAGCCACCTCCATGGCTAGTTCAGGGATCAAACGTGGAATTTCCAGCCACCTCCATGGCTAGTTCAGGGATCAAACGTGGAATTTTGGCTAGTTCAGCCACCTCCATGGCTAGTTCAGGGATCAAACGTGGAATTTTCCAGCCACCATGGTAGTTCAGGGATCAAACGTGGAATTTCCAGATGGCTATTTCCAGCCACCTCCATGGCTAGTTCAGGGCCACCTCCATGGCTAGTTCGGGATCGTGGAATTTCCAGCCACCTCCATGGCTAGTTCAGAGCCACCTCCATGGCTAGTTCAGGGATCAAACGTGGAATTTCCAGCCACCTCCATGGCTAGTTCAGGGATCAAACGTGGAATTTCCAGCCACCTCCATGGCTAGTTCAGGGATCAAACGTGGAATTTCCAGCCACCTCCATGGCTAGTTCAGGGATCAAACCTGGAATTTCCAGCCACCTCCATGGCTAGTTCAGGGATCAAACGTGGAATTTCCAGCCACCTCCATGGCTAGTTCAGGGATCAAACGTGGAATTTCCAGCCACCTCCATGGCTAGTTCAGGGATCAAACGTGGATTTTCCACGTTTGATGACCAATGGAGCGAGCGAAATCGTTCGCTGGGAAAATCCTCCGAAAAAGTTCGCAACGGGACATGGCTTCCACGATTCCTGACGGATCATCAAAGCCAAGGTTTCCACAGGCTTTCCTCGTTGAACATGTCCCAGCCTCCGGGGAAAAAAACCAATCTCGGGATCACATCTCGTTGTGGCCGAGCTGAGGTTTCCTAAAATGAGGAGTATAATCCATAGTAGTAGCCCTAGTTCTCATCCCATTTTTTTGAAAACAAAACCCATTACAATTCAACCACCCACCCAGCTAGTAGTTTTCCCCCCATCTTTTGCTGTGATTTTCCAACGAAAAAACCATCCGAGCTCGTGTTGGAGCCCAGGTTACGAGTACATGAGCGACAGCCTTGGGCGTTGTGTCTTGGTGGACCACGGTGCCATGTTCCCCGAAGGGACCATCAACTTGGCCAACGCGCAGCGTGGCGCCAACGGTTTCTGGGAGCTGGCCAACTTGTGGCAGGGCTACTGCCACCTGGCGATGGTTGGGGTGATTGGGGTGGTTGGGGTGGTTTGGGGTGGTTGGGGTGGTTGGGGTTGGGGGTTGGGGCGAGATTTTGGGATGGAATCGCCACATTTCAGCATTTTTTTTGGGTGAAACGTAGAAATCGTACAATGTAGAGAGATAAATAATGTAAAATCTATATTTGTGCAGGATGTGGGAAACTCGAAGTCCCCATAACCATGGAACGTGAATAAAAGCAAACACAGATAACAAAACCTTCAATACACCAAAAAAACATGGAACACATGAACAAAAAGGTCGCCTCTGGTAATTTGTTACCTAGTTCCGGAAACCATCATTTTGAAGGTAAAATCATTGCACTTTACAGGGCCATGGCTTCCATAGCTTTGTAGAATTGCCGGAGGGTATGGGGAAAATTCGGAATATATAGTTAGTTCATAATTTACATTGATACATACTAAGTCATACTAAGTCACACTAGGTCACACTAGTTCCTAGAAATGTGATACCCTCTGGTAAACTAACATAACTATGGAAAATCTCCATTTTTAATGGGAAAATCCACTATTTCTATGGTCATTTTCAATAGCTATTGTGACATAACCAGAGGGAAAATTTACAGGAAACCCCTATATTTGATGGTAAAAACCCATGGGTTTCCGGTTAAGATTTTCCCTTCAACCAATCCAATGATAGAAATGTGATATGACCAACCCTCCCAAAACAAATCCTCCACGTCCACCCGGGTCACCGATCGGTCACCCAGGCGACCGTCGCGCCGTGGCGCTACGGCAGCAGCACGACCGGCAGCTGCAGCGCCTGCGCGCCGAGGGCCGCGAGCGCGAGCGCGGTGCCCTGGAACTGCGAGAGGCCCTGGAAGAAGAGCTGCAGGAGCCACTGGATGCGGTGAAAATATGTGGCTTTTTGTAGGTGATTTTAATGGCATAAAAAATGATGGTTTTCCATGGGACTTTTAATTGTGGTTTTTCATGGGATCTATAAATTTTCATGATTAATGATCTATAAATTTTCATGATTAATGATGAAAAACCTAATGATCTATAGAAAATGGGAGTGATATGTAATGATAGTCATTCATAGAAAGTTGTTACCCTCTGGTTATGACTAACAGTTTGCCATGGAAAGATCCACCATGCTATTAATAGGTAAAGCCAGGTAAACCATCTATAAATGGGCCATCTATACCATGGCTATGTTAAATAACCAGAGGGTATGATTAATGATTATAACCCATACGTAACCAATGTAACCAGTGATCAATGTTTATAATCCATATGCAACCAATGGTTTATAAATGTTTTTAGATGTTTGTAAATGTTTATGATCCATATTGTGGCCGTTATGTAAGCCCTTTTTAAAATCCCATATCATCCAGTGGAGAAATTCCTTATACTATGGGAGGTATGACCCATTTACTAAGTGGGATGCACCCCCAAGTTCCTGAGCATTAAGTTGTTGAAAAATGGAGGTTTGCCGTTGACCTGTGCAAAATGAGGGGGTTGATAAAAATTGGTGGGTGAAAGAATGGTTTACTGTTAAGAACCGGGGATTGCAGAATGAACATGGTGGGTTCAACCGAGTTTAATTATAAACAATGAATTTTTAGAAACTGGGGTGCGTATGGGTGCACGAAAAATGGTTTGGTGGCCTAGTCAGGCGAACTAGTCGCCACGGGCCCTGGATCTCAGACGAATGGCGATAGAGAGAGAGAGGGGACGAGAGTACCCAAAAGGGGCAGATTTCACAATCTTTCAGCTGTGTTTTTCTTTTTAGATGACAAAAAAGAGTTCACCGCTTTTTGATCCCTTAAAAACCAGCAATTTGTTTGATCAATGTGCCAATCAATTGAGAGATTTGCCATAGAAATGGCTTCACAAAGGTCAGCAATCAGGCTTTGCCTTGGTCGACAGGAACACTGGAGTCGCAACGCCGATTCCATGCAGGCGCTGGCGCGCCAGGAATAGTGAAGGTTTGTAGGATGGAGAGGATGGAGAAATGATGAGTAAATAAGCCCAGAAATCATGGACTAATCATGGGGATAGCTATGAAATCTATGAACATCGACACGTTTTTGATGGGGCCGGTCATCTCTCGGGATGCCAAAAAGGCTGCTTTGTGGCCAATTTTTTCGTGGGATCATGATGATCAACGATGAGAAAAATTGGGATAGCTATTTTCAGAGAGACCCATTGATGTATATACCCTCTGGTAAACGTTTACAGAGCTATTGAAAATGGATGAAACTTCCATTTATAGTGGATTTACCCATTAAAAATTAATACTTGTATATAATACTGGTTGATGTATATGGAATTTTATGACTTTCCATATATTAAAATTTCATAATCCCAACTGACTTTCATATTTTTCAGAGGGGTTCAAACCACCAACCAGAATATCACCACAAAAAGCCAAACATTTTGGGGGGTGTGAGTACCAAGGGAATTTCAATCATAGTTTTGTCCAGCTGGAGTGCTACCCGTCAAACCAGACTTTCTGGTGAACACCGTATCATGGAGGACCATCAAATCCAGCGGATCTCGGGGCATTTGATGATTCGCTTAGCAACCAGCGGATTCGTTGCTACCTCTGAAGATTTTGCTTCGTTTCTGAAGGTCTTGCGGCGATGCCGGTTTTTTTTTCACAGCTTTTGGTTCAAGTCAGCCCGTTCCCACCACATTTTCGGCAGCCACCGCGGGCGACGCTGCCATTTTCGGTTGACAGATGGGGTTCGATCCAAGAGTCATGGCCATTGCAGGAGGAGCCTTGGGTTTTCTGTACATCATGGCCGTCGAGCCCTTGAACCCCAAGACCAAACGACAGGAGGGCTACAATCCAGAAACTTGGCGCAAGGGTTGTGCTTGGTTGTTCTAGTTGGTTGGTTGAGGGGGTGCTTGATGTTCGATATAGGGGATGGTTTCAGAGAGTTTTGGGGAAAATCTGGAAGATGTTGAGTCCCGGGATGATTCTGGATGACTCTTAACCTTTTACAGTAGCCGCTTCGTCATGTATTCGCTATGGATGTCATGGGCAGATCTGATTTTGACCTAGCTCAGTGACTTGGAACAGCGCAGACTTCAGGAACCCTATGCATTCCAATGGAAGGCCCGATTTGAAGAGTGGATGGGCTGGAAACCGCAAACCCGCCTGTAGATCCAACCAGCACCGATCTGAAGCTGAGCAGCAGAACCAACCCGCAACGCGGACCGGACAGAGGAAGAAAAAAGGTGGTGAGAGCGCACTTTTTTTGGGGGGAGCATGTGAGGATATGTGAGGCTATTCCCCAGCATGAAAACCACTTTTCGTTTTGCTTCTTTCGAAGGGTTGGAGTTCACACCTCAGATTTTTCACAGCAACGGAAGCCATCCCAGGGATGGTCAAAATCCTGCTGATTGGCAAACAATGAAGATGGAAGAAGGGATTCTTGCACTTCCTTGACAAATCCAAAGTAAGCTTCGTTGACAGTATATCTCCGTTCATTAGTGGTTTGATCAGATCAAACCAATCAGTAACTAGTGTTTATGTCCACACGATTCGTTTCTTGTTTGTTTGTTTGTTTGTTTGTTTCTCTTCACTGTTGTTCCTTAATCCCCACTTGAACGTTGCTTAAGCGACTCTTCATCACGAGTTGCTTCCGTGCAATTCCTTCAGATTTTCTCCAAAAAAACCAGCCATGGATTGACATCAAAAATGTCACTCGGAACTCAGACATTGACCAATCCAATGGTCAAACCAATGGCTTTCTAAAGACGACCCAAAAAGAAAATCCAACCCATCCCACCCTGTCACCAGGTTACATCAAGATTTTCGCTGGGATTGAATTTTTGATGGTTTGATCCTACCTTTTGACAAGGTAAACCTCCATGCTTGACACTTGACACTCTCAATTTTTCGCTGGTTAAATCCAACTTTTTTAGATTGTTCAGTGGTTCAACCATCGATCCCAATTTCCATGGCTGAAATACGATGAAATCCCAAATATTGAGCCAATTTCCTGGGCTTAATCACCACACAAACTCCAAAATCGCCCAATGTTTGCCTAGTTTCTGCCCATCAATCATTTCATCAATCCCATAAAAATTCGCTGTGGTAATTTGCCAGGCACATATTTTGAAAAGCCCGGTTAGACGGCAAATCAGCGAGCAGTTTGATACCATATAGTTCATAACATACCATATAACTATGGTATATATAATTACGCTTTGGTTATTTAACATAGCCATGGTATAGATGGCCCGTAGAAATAAATGTTTTACCTATTAAAAATGGTGATTTTCCATGGCTATGTTAGTCATAACCAGATGGTATATATACATATTATAGCTGCCATAATTATATATAACTATACATATTACAGTCATGAGAACAGGCCTTTTGTGTAATACATTATTGATTATCATTCACATAGTTCATAAGATACAATTAGTTATATACACCATCCCAGAGGTTTTTTACATCACGTTTCCAGTTTCCATGACATTGCCATGGCGCCGCAGGTGCTGCTGCAGATGGACCGCCACTCAGATCGTTTAGCGCTTCTGCTGCAGCTGCTGCAGCAGGAAGCGCGGCGCCTGCGGGCCTTGAAGGCGGTAGCCCAATCCACCGGGTTGGAGGCGCAGGCTTAGGCATGGCGGCGCCATGGCGGGGCCATGGCGGAGCCATGGGCGTTCCCGAAAATGGGGGAGCTGCCATGGCCATAGGATGCCAACTTGGGGAGGTTTGGTGGATGAGATTTTTTTCGAAGGTCCAGATCTTGGTAGGAATTGATGATTCAGAAGGGCTGTGTCATTTTCTGAAAGGTGTGGATTCGCAAGAACTGGTTGACAGATATGAAATTGTGGCCGTATCTCCTCAAGCGTAGTTGCGCCCATCATTGAAACGGTGGGCCTTTGGAGATCCCGAGAAACGGAGCCGCGGAGCCTGGACTTTGGAAGCACCAGCATCTCATGATTTTGATGGAAAAGACTGATGTTATGAAATAGATAATATATAGTATATATATACATATATATATATATGGATGATAGATGATATATAGAAAAAGCTTTTGTTTGGTTCTTTCTCGTTTGGTGATTTCAATAAGAGGACTGGGAACCCGGCCCCGGATCTCAAGAGGGACGTCGGAGGAGCATCGCCCGTTCGATGGAGGCTGGTTTCACCTTCTGCGATGGTCGTCTCCGCGTCTTTCTAAACCACATCTTCCAGCGACGGGTGCCTTCTGTAGGGGCCGGAATGGAGCGATCAACGCAGTGTGTTTTGGTGAGTTTTTGTTACTGGAGCCCGGCCCTCAAAGGAACCCACCGCGAAAGTGCGTGTTCTTTTCTGAAAACGACCGAATTCATGGAGAAAACTGCCGTGACTGACGACCACACGGTGACATGGGTTGAGTCAGTGCGGATTCCATTTGTCCAAAGAGAGCACAGAGGCAATGGCTCAAAATTGGAGAGTAAACAAGGATTTTTACCAGTTGCACCGTTCCTTCTGTTGTCATTGCCTTGAAAGAATATGGCTATGTTTCACAGGGTCATGGGTCATGTACTTCGGATGTCTTAGTAAGGTAATAACATGGCAAGAACGGTGTCATCCCCTCGTTTGACTTTCCCGAACTCCAATGGTCACTGATCAACCTCAAAAAATGACTTTGAAATCTTTGAGTTGCCACAAAAAGACTCAAAAAGGCTTCCAGCAACCCATTGGAATGGATTCAAGAACTTGCCCATCCCATGTATGCCATAATATGCCACAATATGCCACAATTATTTCTTGCATTTTTTCTGGCTGTCAATGTTTTTGAGCCACAGCCCCCTTGGCGTCCTTCGGGGACGAAAAGCGGGGGATCTCGGGTGTGTGTGACGCCCGAGAGCCCGTTTCTGCTGCGAAGATCTGCGAGCTGCGCTAAAAATGGACGCAGAACACCGAGGATTCCGGGGGCGCTTTGCCTTGGCTGCTGGTACCATCATTGATACCCTCTGGTAATTTAACATAGCTATTGAAAATACCCCATTTATAATTGATTTACCTATTCAAAATGGTGATTTTCTATAGCTATGTTAGTTTACCAGAGGGTACCACCCTTACTGGTTGGTGGTTTATGTGGTTTGTACTGGTTGGTGGTTTGAAACATGTTTTGAATTTTCCATTTCATATATGGGATGTCATCCTTCCCATTGACGAACTCATATTTTTCAGAGGGGTAGGTATACCACCAACCAATTGGGATCCATTGGGTTAAAAAAACTGGGATGTTTAAGGGGGGACCAGGACAAAGAAAAACTAGGACTGAAGCCGGTTTGTGATGAAAGTGAAAGTGGTGCAAAAAGCATTATATATAGGCACATTAGAAAGCAACAACAGCCGGCACACATCCGAAAAAAACACGTTCATGTCTGCTCATGTCAGGTTTTCCCAATTTTTGCAGCAGGTAACAATACAAGTCACAGGTAACCCACTAGCTGATGGTAAAGCAATATAAAAACATATAAAAACCTCCGAAATTCATCGAAATTCACGGGTTTGTTCCACAACCCGGTGAGGTAAACCCAGTGGTGTTCCACGTCCAACTTTGTGGGCTTTTGAGGGTCAATACCCAAATCCCCGGTAGGTTTTCTTTGCAGAATACCTACCCCATAAACACACACACACATGGATATAGATATAGATATATATAGATATAGATATAGACACACACACACATATATATTATATATATACACATACATATAGGGATATACATATATATATACACATAATATATATATATATAAATTCAATAACCGAGGTGTAAAGCCACCTAGCTATCCAGGCACCAGCTCCAGCCGCCCTCTGCATCCGACCTTGGATCAGCTGATTGGTACCCCGCGGGTGACGCAGGCGTTGAGACGTGGATTTCATGGGAATATCCCATGGAATTTACTTGAAATCCCATGGAAATCATCAGTTATCCCATGAAATTATCCATACCCATGGATTTTAATGGGATTAACTGATGATTAACTGAGGATTTCATGGGGTTAACTGATGATGCACTGATGATTTCCTGGGATTTAATGGGGTTTAATGATGACCTAATAACGACTAAATGATAATTCAATGATAATTTAATGGCATTTGAGCTGGTTTTAGCATGCTTTAGCTATCCAATGGTTGGGATAAGCTGGTTTTACCAGCCAGTGGTTAGGAGTTGGCGGTTCAATTTGCCGCAATTTTCGTAGGACATTATAACTGTACTCAATTCTATCTTTAGTAGGCTATTGTAAGTTTGGTATCCATGGGTAGCAATTCGGAACGATGGATATCTATAGACTTTCAGTTGAGTATCTAGAAATCACCCCGTTACAAAAAATGATGAGCTGGCAGCTGGATTGAGTAGTCATTTCAGCTTCCTTTTTGTTGGCTGGAACATGGGTGATATACGCACAAAATGGATGAGTTACGAACCAAAATGATGGGTTATTTGCCAAGAAAATCGGTGTTTTTTTTTAAATCGATAAATATAGCACACATGGAACACAATATTATAAATCATGAGACCATCGGGCCAAAATGACCCACCATCGGTCACCACCCCCGATCCTATTAAATACCTGCCCTAGGACCTGAAGTTGCGAATAGATCAAATACATTTCGGCAGAGTTTTGCTAGGTCAGTATAGATATAGAATGTATTTAATATGTTGGGGGAAGGGATTACCGAACCTCCAAAAATGGGTTTGACCTACTAAAACTTGGCAGATTTGTGTTTTTTTCCGGTATCACACTGATTTCCATCTGCAGAAAATCATAGACATTTATTCTGCTAGATCTAGACGATTTTTCTACCTAAATTCTACGACAGTCGGGTGGTGAACCTGAAGTCACAAATCAGGGGTAATGAGCCGAGTGTATGGTAATTTTACAATATTTGAATGGTCATATACCTTGATTTTTTTTTGCTAATTTTTGATGGGTTAGATGGTTAGATCAGCATTTTTCACAGTGAAAGCTCCATCTTTCATGTCAGGCTTTAGCTCTGGAACCAGCCAGAGCCAGTGCCTTTCAAAAGTGCGCAGCGTGGGACTCAGTAACTGATGTAACTGGTGGATGTTGGTGGGGCTATCAGCAAGTTATAAAATGTTATACCCTCTGGTAAACGTTTACATAGCAATGGAAAGATCCACCATTTTTAATGGGAAAACTCACTATTTCTATGGCCATTTTCCATAGCTATTGTGACATAACCAGAGGGTAAATAGAAGACACTCCGGTGTCGCCGTGGCTGGAAAATCACCCAGCAATAGTTCGATGATTTTCCCAGCGATAAATTAACCTCCATTGAGTTCGGAGGATCTCTCTATGGATTTTCCAGCAAGCCACGTTTGATTACCGGGTAAGCGAGTGATGGGATGCCACCAAGATACTATCCGGGGATCCGGTCAATCATCGTCGAAATTGGAGATTGAATGTTCAACTTTTGGTTTGGCCTCTTGAACAAATCTGGAATAACCCATTTTTCATGGGAAAATCCATTATAAATGGCCATTTTCAAGAATGGTGAGCCATTTTTCTGGGTGCAGATCCAAGTGTGGAGTTCACCACGATGGGTTTGCAGCAAGTGCTTCATGGAGGATTTTGGATTCGCACGTGGCGAAGTAGCTGACTCACTACCTCCATGGATGCGGAGGAGTATGGACAGAATATGGATGGACAAGGCAACACAATATCGGAACATAATAGGCGCATTACCCGTGCATGCAAATATTGCATTTTTTAAATTATTACTATTATCATTATCATTATCATTATCATTGCAATATTACACTTCTTATTATTATAGTCATCAAAAAGTCCTTTTATTAGCAGCATTAGCAGTAGTACTGTTTTTAACATTATTACTATTATTATCATCTTCATTGCTACTATTATTACTATTATTACTATTAGTATCGTTATTATTATTATAATTATATATACACATGTATAGATGTTATCCTGGGTGGGACCTTCATCATGGGCCGCCCTCGGGTTTGGAGCCGTTGAAGCCGACCATTGGAGGGGGAGAATTTGCAGCGAACCCCGAACGTCCTTCAATGTTCCGTTACAGATTGTCTCCCCCAAAAGAAAGAACCAGACACGTATTTCCAGGATAGATAGACAGATAATGCCAACCCCGGATTCATAAACCATGGTGAATTAATTAGGGGGGTACTCCTCCAATAGTCATTTCATCTGATACTTTAATGGTACCCTCCCAATCAAACAGCCGTTGGGGTTTATTAATCCAGGGGTGACATTAACTATAACCACTATAACCATTCATAAACCAGCACATTTCCATCATAAACCAGCACTTTTCCATCATAAACCAGCACTTTTCCATCATAAACCAGCACTTTTCCATCATAAACCAGCACTTTTCCATCATAAACCAGCACTTTTCCATCATAAACCAGCACTTTTCCATCATAAACCAGCACTTTTCCAATGGTTCCAACTTGTCGATGGCGGCGTCCTGCGAGGCCTACTACCTTTGAAGCTGGTGACGAAGCCGCGAATACCCCGGATGATCTTAGGGAACATAGGAACTTCACTATTTACACATACACATATACATCTACAGTAATATATGTGTCTTTATGCTCGCAAATAGCTGCCGAAGGAATCAGTTTCCAGATCCGATTTTTTGATATTTTTTTTTTGGGAGTTCCCTATTACATCTACTACTCTTCTTTAACCATAGGCCGGGGAGCCCATTGGT